CTTCTTCTCCTAATCTAGTCAGATCATAGATGTGGCACAAAACATATAAAAATTTATTAAAATGTAGAAACTCTTTGACTCTTAAGCCACCTCAAATATAATCTGCCTGGATGGTGTCAAAATGTAATATCCTTTTTGAGTTTTTTTAGTAAAACTGTCAAAACTGACTTTTGATATCTAAAGCAAATTCTATCTGCACATATGAGTATTCCGCTGGGAGATTTATGTCACTGACTTCAATCGCAAAGCACACATCCTTTTTGGAATCTCCCTTATGTATATGACCCATCACTGGGGCTTACACTAGAAGACTCAATTTCTCTGGAAAATTTCCCCTAAACAAATTTAGCGTCCTTGTTACCTCCAAAATGGCTATTGCTCTGGAAATTTCTCCTCCCAGATCGAATCCCAAAGAATGGTCTGGATTGTTGTCACACTGTAAGGAAGTTAGAGTGAAGTGAATATAGTTTAAAATACGCATTCAGGACCATATGAAACTGTCATTCATATTGTTGGCACAGTGTGTGTGAAGCACAAATGCAACAATGTATGGGGGAGGCTCTGAAAATTTAAGGAGCAACACAAATGTGAGTGAGGTCGGTATTTTCTCCCCTAAATTGTCAAGAAGTGCTTCCTTCATAAGGGCGGACCTTTTGGTGAATACCAGGCACATAGAAATTTGAGATGAGGACCCTGTCAGCGATTCTTTGGTATCTCTTCTCTCCGTTTATTTCCTGACAAGGCCAGAATAGCTGGGAGATTCCTGGCTAGTTGTTTGCTGTGGCCCCTGCTTGGACAGGTGATGTCTCTCTCTGAGCCCCCGTTTCCTCACAGGGACAATGACCCTTCACAGAGATGTGGTAAAGGTTAAATGAGATTATGTACCCGAAGTGCGTAAGTGCTGGGGACATAATAAGTGCTCAACAAATGGAAATTGTTATTGGTTTTATCATTCCACAAGTCACTCTTGGGAAGTGCCACCTCAGCCCCGTCACTGCTTTACCTCAGCCTCCCTCACCTCAGCTCCCGCCAGGCCTTCTAAAAAAAAAACAACCCGTTGCCTTGGAGTCGGATTCATAGCGACCCCTACAGGGCAGAGTAGAGCTGCCCCGGAGGGTTTCTAAGGAGCGGTAGGTGGACTCGAACTGCCGACCTTTCAGTTAGCAGCCGGGCTCTTTAACCACTACGCCTCGCGGGCTCCTGGGACTTCTAGGAGTTCTCAGAAGGGCGGGGAAAGAGCATCTTCCGGTTGCTAAGAAAGGAGATGGGCTCTCACTACTCTGTAATCCTTAAAAAGGCATTGTAGATGGGCTGGTCATTGTCAGCTGCTAAAAAAAAAAAGTGGAGCCTACTAACATTGCCCTTTTAAGGGGTGTGGCTTCCAGGAAGTGCGGGAAGAACAGCCAGACTGAGGCGGAGCCAGAGACCTCCGCGCTCCGAGGGCTTTGAACGCTGAAGGGCACGAATATGTTAATGGACTTCGGTTCCCAGTGAATGGGAGGAAACGCCTGCCTGGACCGACCCGCAGAGCTGGAGAGGGAGCGAGGGGAGAAAGTGAAACAGGGCGTGAGACCAAGCTGGGGAGGCTGGAAACCAACGCCAGACTACGTACTCCGAGGTGTTCCTCTCCCAGCGCCGGGGTCTCCTGGCCCCTCTAGCGCTGTCCGTCGCTCCTTACCGAGGGCAACGAAAGGGTGAGGGTGAGGAGCTTCCGAATTTAGGAGCTGAAGGGTTCTTGCGAGGAATACCACCTTGTTTTACAGATGGGGGAAACTGAGGCCTGAGAGGTTAGGCCCCTAGTCCTAAATCGCAGTGCTAGAGGCAGAAGACGCGCTCCATTTAGCAGGTCTTAAGCGCTACGGCTGCTAACAGAAAGGTCGGCAGTTTGAATCCACCAGCCGCTCCTTGGAAACCCTGTGGGGCAATTCTACTCTCCTCTGTCCTATAGGGTCGCTATGGGTCGGAATCGACTCGACGGCAACGTGTTTTTTAAATTCATTTGTTTTCACTACTGCATGTGGACCCTGGGGTAGCCCACTTTGGAGATGAAAAGGCAGCTGCCCCAAACGCAGCAGAACGTGGTATATTATAAAGCAAGTCCCGGACTGCCCATGAGGCTGGAGGATTTCGAAAAAAATACTTCCTAGGGAAAGATGAAAGGATTTGTGGTGGCAGCCAGTAGCAGTAGCGGGCAAGGACAAATGATCATAGCCTGGTCTGGACTGCGTTGCTATATGAAAAATGATGAAGTGTCCCAGCTTTCCTGAGAACGAGCTCAGAGCAAATGAAAGGGGAGCAGAAAGGATTAGGGTTGGATTTAACGAAACTTTCTCCCAGGGATGAAAATTGGGCCCTTTATTAAATTATCAAGGAGGGCGGTGGGCTCATTCCTCCCCCCGCCCCAACACACACACTTCTGAGACCTTTGGGAATCTATCTCCTTCCGGTCCTGCAAGGGCCTACTTGGAGGACAGGAGCGAATGAAATGACTTTGAAATGTCCCACCATTCAGGTGGGAGAGTCTTGCCCTGGATGGGCCTCCTGGGATCTTTGCTGAGGGTGAGGACAGCAGTTGTTCTGGCTCCAGGGCCCTGGGGGGAGACGCAGCAGTCATAGCATCTCTTGTAACATGCTCCCTGCCAAATTGATTCAAATTGGCTTGGATATGAACATATGATTAAAGGAGCGGCGCGATTCATTTATCAGGAGAGATTAAAGAGCGGCATCTGCGCAGCCTAGCTGGGGGACAATTAAGGAGCAAATCGCTAAGTGTCTGTGCCACCAGGCACGGGGATGGGGGATGGGGGGAAGGACAACTAGGATAATCTACCAAGGGGACACAAGCACAAAAGGAGGTAGTTTGGGGTCACTGCCTGCCACTGTAGTGTGGATATAGATTGGGCACTATGGGGAGTTTTAATCCCCACCCACGCCTCTTGTTTTGGAGTCAGAGCAATTCTGAAGGTCTGAGATTAGAGAGGAGGATCTAGTGAGGTGGCTTTGAGCCTGGCACAGGGACAGGTTTGCTTCCTGTTTCGCAGGAATCACACATCTTAGGGACAGAGCTACCGTAAGTGTACAGTGAGGGCAGGCGCTTACAGAGCTCTGAAGGCACACCCAAGATGCAAGTGGGCTTGGGTGGCCCTGCAGGCCCCTGGACTCCCCTGAGGAGTTGGTGCCGAGGGAATCCTCTCCTTCCCAGTCTGGAGCCCAGCACCAGGGCCCAGGGGCTTTCCTGTAGCTTCAAGAGGCCTTGCCTGTGTGAGGCGATCGATGTCTTCTGGCTTCCCTATACAACCTGTGGCGCTCCCTACCACCATCTTTCTCTGCCTCAGGGCCTTTGCTTAAGCTCTTTCTTCTCAGCATGCCTGTCCCAGCAGTGACTGTGGAAATTCTATCCTTTTTTCAAACCCCAGCTCAAAATACCAGCTTTTAGAAATTTTCCCAGTTCTCCCTAGTGAGAACATCTCCCTCCGTAATATGCCCGTATCAACTTCTTTGTTCTTCTGTTATGTTTTATGTAATTAGTTCCATGTGGTCCTGCTCCAGCCTTAGACCATGAGCCCTTTGGAGGACAAACACTATGATTTATTTCTCTTTACCCACCCAAAGTGCTTGTACAAAATAGTAGGTGCAGTACATATTTTGTGCATCTAACTCCTCTGCTAGACTATCCCTTTTATGAAGGAAGGGGCCTTATCCATCCCCAGAACCTACAACAGTGCCTAGCCAATAGCAGGCAGTTATGAAATACTTTTTAACTGTTGAGCAAATGAATAAATGAATAATAAGTCTTCTGACTTGAACAAAGCCATTTGCCCCAGCCAGGCTATTGAAGGTTGATGTTGGATTCTCCAGTTAACGAGAGGTCTGAGTCAGTGTTGGTGACAGAGTTGGGAACTCTTCTGCAGGTGGCAAGGAGTTTGTCACCCGAGTTCCTGGGAGAAACAGGAAATGCACCAAGCTATTTGAAAGCAGGAGTAAAAGATATGAGTGACAGAACCAAACATGAGGAGCCAGCAGTTAAAAAGTAACTGCACTTTTACTACCTTCTCTATTCATCTTCCTGGGGCAGTGGAGAGGGCTGTCTCCTTTGTTCAAGATGGATCAATCAACACTTCTCTCCCACCCACTTCATTCTGGGGGTAATTTTTCTCCTTCCTCTTCTTGAATCTTTCTGGGTAACCGACATCTCCACAGCCTTGGCACTAGAGCTGTGTGATGCCCTTTCCCGCCTACTTGCCCATACCAGGGGAGCCTGATCTACCAGCTGCAAAGTGAACACTTTATGCATGCAGGGGTTAGAACTGGCTACATTACAGAAGGTAGAGGAGGAGGAGTGGATCTTCTTGCTCTTCTGCATGAGCTGTCTCTTAGCTGCCAGTAAGGGGACAAAGCACGGACTGAGGCATGCAGGCAGAGACAGAGGAGGGCACGGTAGACAGCACTCCCAGCTTGTTCAAGATGCCTTGTGTCCAAGGGGCTGTAGGCCAGAGATAATTCTGCAAAGTTTTGATCAAAAAGTCACCTTTAGAATGACTAAATTATTAAACTTAAAAAAGAAAAAAAAAAACTTTCTAATGAGAAGGGCTTGAATCCATAAACAAAAAGTTAGAGAAGACAGAACTCTATAGTTGGTGAGCTTTAACAATCAGAGGGATCTCAACATTCCCACATCTATCTGGGTTAAGTCCAGCGTGGATGCCAGGGGAGGATAAGGCCTGGATAGCTCTGCCAACTCAAATTACATTCCACAGGCTCTTAAAAGAAAGGTGGGTTTTGTGTCTTCCTCAAGCAATTTGCTCATCCCACCACCTCTGCCATAGCTCCCAAATGACCTGCCCTCATGGCTGAGGCTCTCTGAGTGGCACTGGTCTGACATGGGAATGGGCAATCCCTGCAGTCCTCATCAGAATCCTGCCTGCTCCCTTGCCCCCTGCCATGACCACGCTGGTCTTTACCTTAACCTGAAGGAGCAGGGAGGAAAACTGGCAGCACAACCAGGAGGAAAAGGACATTTATTTTCATACATCAGGTAAACAGGGAAGAGAGAGCACAGCCCAGTGAGTACAAACCAATTGCAGGAGAGAAGGGGGGACAGCAGATGGGAGCAGCACCAGGCACTTCCCTTAGGCCCCCAAGTCTGGTGGTGTTGGTGGGATAACCTTTTAGGGTGGGAGCTGGGACCTTCAGACTGCATGTTTTCATGTATAGGGTAAGTGTGTGTGTGTGTGCGCATGGATGAGAGGGAGACTGGAAGATAAATGACAGAGGGAGGACTTATGTCTAATACACACCAGCACTGACCAAACCTTCCATCTTCAGTTTTTCTGATCACAAGCCCTCAACCCAAAGCCTTCCCTCTCAAGTTGAGCTTAATGGTCCAGGTAGCTCGGACAGAGCGGGAGGGAAGCAGTGCTTGGACAAGCCCCAAATTGGCATCAGTGGAATGGGTTTTTCTTAAATAGGTCATTGCACTTAATACACTGATGAGACAAAGAGGGGTGGGGCGGGGCTGGGAGTTCCAGATGGTATATATGCACCTCTGTCTATGTAGGCTCACTCATCCCAAACCCAGAAGCACCTGAGAGCCCCTCCCCACGCTGACTGTTAAGAACCTGGACCCAGCTCTGCTCACCAGTATCTTGAGCTGCACAGAGAAAGGACTGTCCTCTGAACAGTAGAGATGGAAATGAGATTCGCCTAGTCATTCCCAGAGGTGGGGGGGCCCAGCTGCCACCCAGCCCCCTCTCACTCTCAGGGATGCAGCTGTGATGAGAGGTTGGGTATTTAAATTAAAAAGTAAAAAGACAGCAGGCACTGAGAAGAGAAAGCCATCACTCCAAAACCAGGGGAAAGAATTGCTGTGCCTCCCCCAACTCCTCCCCATGGACCCAGCAACCTAGAATGTCCCAGTAGGCAATCTGTGCGCCATCCCTGAGCAGGGAGCTGAGATGGGGGTCAACTTGCTGGCTCCATGCAGTGCCAAGCCACCTGCCATTGCCCAGGGTGGCCCAAGGTAGAAGCCGAGAGTGTGGCATTTTGGAGGCAGGGAGGAGCATAAAGTTCTCTTTTCAGAAACTCCTCTTTCTCCCACCTCATCCACGTGGAGAAATCAGACATCCAGAACCTGGAAAGTTCCCCTGACAGAAGAGGGCTGGGTGTTTCCCATGCAGATCAGCAGTCAGGTCAGGGAAACCTGCACCCCTTCATTTCCTGGGAGAGGCACGCTGGCAGCAGTAGGCCGTGGGGTGGGAGGGGCTGTGGACCACTCCCCTGGGCTATGCATTGGTCTCCGTCAGCCTGGCCTCTGTGTCACTGTCGCTCAAATAGTTGTGGGAGTATTGGGGTCTGGAGGTGCTGTTGAGAGGGTCGTGCTCATCATCTGACCGGTCAGGGGCAAGGGGCTTCCAGTAGCTGGTGGGGCTGCAGGGAGAGAGGAATAAGGTCATGGAGGAATGACCCCCTAGCCCTCAGCATCAAAGCCTTTCTTGGTACCAAACCCAACCCCCGAGTCTTCATCAAGCCACTGTCTCTAGAAGCCTCCAGATAACTGCCCCCCACCCCCTGACAAGATGAGAAGTGTTGTCCCCTCAATGGAGTGGGATCATGGCATCAAACAAGGGTGACACCTTATCTTCCAGCTCCATTCACCTTGTCTTTCCCTTCTTTCCCAAAGCCTTGATCCATCGTCTCCTGCCCCTTCCGCCTCAGCCAATTCAAATGCGCTATTATTTCAACAAGGAGCTGTGGTGGTGTAGTGGTTAAGCACTCGGCTGCTAACTGAAAGGTCAGTGGTTTGAACCCACCAGCTGCTCCACGGGAGAAAGATGTGACAATCTGCTTTCCTAAAGATTACAGCCTTGGAAACATTATGGGGCAGTTCTACCCTGTCCCATAGGGTCGCTATGAGCTGGAATCAACTCGACAGCAACGGGTTTTTTTTTTTTGTATTATTGCAACACTAATGGGGAAGATACAGCCCAGTCTGGCTCCACTCTTACCGATGCCTGCACTTAAGCTGGGTCCCCGGAGCTGCAGCCCTACCCAGTGCTCCCAGGAACACAGCCCTGCTTCCAGATCCTAGAGAGCTTCCGCTTGGTAAGTAGGAATTCCGTGACTCTTGCTGCCTAGGACTTGCTATTCCAGTTTAAGAATCCCAGGAAAGTCTTTTGTTTACCAGCCCTTTCGAGAGTTCCTCTATCCCCAAGCCAGAAGAGGAGGAAACGGGGTTTTGCAAGACAGAGTCACATTCTTAGCTTTTTCAAGTGGATCAGTGAGAGATACCAGAACAAAGGTGTGGTCATTGGCGAAATGACCGTGTGTGAGGCCTTGTCCTAGGCACTCTATCTAAGTTCTCTATTCTTTACAGCAACCCTGGGAGGTACCTTGCCCCAGGTCACACAGACAGTAAGTAAATTTAAACCTGGGACTCAGACCTTAAACAAAGCCTTTTGGCTACTCCACCTTGCCTCTAGATCAGGTGACCGAAGGAGAAAACAAGAGCACACCTGAATTCTCCCCATTGGCCTGGGTGAGTGCCCAGGGGTTGTGTAAAGATAGAACTCTCTCTCTCGCTTCCTGTGGGGAAGGAAGAGCCTGATAGAATACATGTTCAATTATGCAAAGTGGCTCAGGAATGGGGCAGTCTGGTTAATAGTTATCATATTTCTCATGAATGAATTACCATTTTTAAAGGAATCAGAACAGCACAAAACACATTTAATACAAACTAGACTGAACATAAATGAGTCTTACTTTGATGGGCCACAGGCCCTTAAGGACTCTGGGGTGTCTCAGGGACAAAATTATAAAGCTCAATGAGGACTGTGCCACATAGAAAAAATTGAGGTTATTTTAGCTTTGGGGTTGGTAGAATTCAAAATAACTGGGGGCCTGGCTTTGTTTTCATTTTTTAGATAGAATTTCTGGGCACCCAGTGCTAAAGTTCTGCTGTTAGGCAGAGGAACAAATGGCTTTGTGAAAAGACAGTGGGGTTATTTTGTAGGCGGTGGTGGGGTGGGGGGGCAGGAGGCAGATGCCAGGGCTAGGATCCAGATGCAAATGAGGCGGCTGCCTGAGCAAGAGAGTGGCAGGGCACTGAGGGGCAGGGCCAGCCCTGTGTGAACCAGCTTCCTCGAGGCCCTGTGCTCCTTTCTGTCCTCTTGCTTCTAAGTGGGGGCTGGGGCCCCACCTCCACATTCCTGTGCCTGTCAGGCAGACACCTGGATAAATGATAGCTAGGTTTCAACCCTGTTCCATTGAGACTCCAGGAACAGTGGCAGAGGCAGCTAGGGAGGCGGTAAACTCCATGCTTCTCCCTTCCCTGCTCTGTGAAGCCACCAGATCCCCCTGGCTTCTACCTCAGATGGTCTGTAACCAGTCTCCTTAGTGGCTTCTACTGCCCAAGGCTGCCAGAGTGCCGACAGCTACCTACCCTTCCCAATGCAAGAGTCAGGGCTGGCGATTTGAACATTTTAACCAAATTGTTTAAAAAGCTTTCCTCCCAAGCCAGTGTCTCCTGCTCAGTGCTGTCACAAACAATTTGGTACATAAGCTAATTCCTGCTGGGAGAGCCTGGGGTGGCAGCACCCCTCCCCTTGCCTTTGCTATGGATACTGCGTTTGCCTTCTGAATTCTCGAATTCTCTCTGGTCCCCATCACTAGATAGGAAGTTAAGCAACCACTCTGCCCCCTGCCCCCACCCTTGGCAGTTTATCCACCCAAAGCCAGTGAGTATTGAGTGCCAGCTAGGTCCTCCCTCCCTGGTCCCTTTTCTCTGGCTCCACATTGGCCAGCTGGGGACTGGCTTGGTGCCCACTCTAATAGCAGTGAATCCAGTCCTCGGAGGTGGTGGTGTGTAGGGTTTCAGGACTACTCCAATTTTCCTGGTGAACAAGAGGAACTGTGCCAGTGGCTGCTGGAAGAAACAGGCTTTATGTATTTTTGTTCTTGCTGGTTGTGGTCAAGGGTGACAGTGGGCTGAGGGCACTGGAGTCTGACACCCGCCAGTCAGCGTGGAATGGCCTGGCTAGGCTGACATCTCCCTCTTCAAGGGGCACAGTACTCAGAAGGGCCTGGTCCTCTCTGCTTTCCAAACCTCCCTCCACCGTCCATCAGCTGCCTTTCTGCCTTGGAGGAGACCTGCCTGGCAGGAATGCTAAGGGGAAGGCTGAGAGGGTAGATACAATACTATAACTCCTGTCTTTTCTCCCTGTGGAGATGACAATGGCTCTCTAGTACAACTGAGCTGCTTCCTGCTCTTCCCAAAGCACCCTGCAACCATCTGCCACATGGGGGAAGTGACAGAGCAGTGTTAAGACCAAGGGCTTGGTGTCAGAGAAGCTCCAGGGCCTGGGGAATCTGGGTTGGCCATAAGCCTGGTCTGGGTTCAAGTTCCATGCAAACTCCCCACACCATTCCATGCCCTTAATCCCATCCATCTCTAAATAGCTACAGGTAACATTCGCTTCTTCTTGCTCCATTCCATAAAATATAACTAGTCCCTTTTGGTGTAATCCAGCCAAAGTCAGCATATTTCTTCCGCATGCGACAGGTGTGTGTTAGTTCACGCACAGGAAACAAAGGCCTGTGCCCCGGGGGCTGCACTCTGGGGTCACACCTCCTGGGAAACAGGAAGCCTGCCCTGGGAGGGTACCCTGCCAAAAACAGTTTCACATAACCAGGGTGATCCAAAATGTCACCACCCACCAGGGAGACTGGCAACAATGGAATTCCAAGGAGTGCAACTTTGCCTTTCTTCCGTTGTGGGGGCGTGGGCACAAAGGGCCTAACTGTTAGGCCTCCCTCCCCACAGGGAGAAGAGCTGGGGGAGGCAGGAGAGCTAGGAGGGGGCTGTCACTCAGCAGCTGCTAATTTCTATTCATTAAAACTTTACAAGATGCGCAGAAACAAGGTGATGCCCATGGGTGGGCTTCAGATGGGAGGGCTGGGGAGGGAGTCAAGCACCTCCAAGGGCTGCTGGAGGGTGTGGTGCTGTGTGGGCTGCAGTCCTGTGAGCTTTGTACTCTGAGGCTTGAGATCCACGCCAGGGAGGAAGGTGGCTGTGCAGCGGTGGGGAGGGCTGAGCAAAAGGCCCCATAATGGCTCATGGCCATGGACATACCAGCCCACACCTGGGGTGTCAGCTAGAGCCCTTTCTGGGGTCCAGCCTGTTGGGGTCATGGACAGAAGCTTGCAGTATGGGTGTTATCTGGCACACACAGTGAACATGTCAGTCACGTGCTCTGCATTGTGCCGTACAGGGGAGCAGTTAAAGGCAAGAGTGTTGGAGTTGAACAGACCCCACTCAGATCCTGGCAACATCATACCCCAGCTGTGCGATCTTGGCAAGTGACTTAACCTCTCTGACTCTCAGCTTCCTCGCCTATAAAATAGGGCTAATCAGACCTTTGTTAGGAGATTGTGAAGATTAAATGAATAAAGTGTGGCAAGGATCTAGGACGGTACCTGGCACAGGGGAAGGCCTTGATAGGTGGGTGCTATGATTAACATCACCAACGAGTTTAGCTGATTGGGCTCAGAATGACTAACAGCTTAGCTGGCCCCTCCTCTCCAAGGTAGCCAGGAGGCTCTCCAAGGTCATGCCTGGCAAAAAGGAGTGCCGGGTGGGGCCTGAGGTGGTGGTGGGCAGGGTGGGGGAGCATGTTAGTTCACACGGGTGGCACACACCATGCTGCACTCCAAGCTGGTGTCACCTACTGCGCTAGTCGCTCTCTGGCCGGTACAGGTACCGCATCATCAGGCTGTCCACCTCTTTCTTGCGCTTCTTCTCCTCCTTCCGTGAGCGCCTGCGTGCCTCCCCAGCCTCCTCACTTTCGGCAGTGGGGCCCTTCTTCACGCTGGAGCGGCTGTGGCCTGAGACGGTAGAGCCACTGGATGATGACGATGAGGATTCAGACTCGGTCTCTGTTCTTTTTCTTCTTGATTTGGACTTCCTCTTGCTCTTTCGAGACCGCCCCTTCTTTCGCCGCCGCCTGTGCTCTGAGGAATCTTCTGAGCTGGAGCTGGAGCTGCTGCTGCTGCTGCTCCTTCTCTTACTCCGGCTCTTCCGGCCACTGTGGGACCAAGAGACATCGGCAGCAGAGGCGGAGCGGCGGATGCTGGTGGCTCTCTCTGGGGGGTCCAGTTGGGCACTATGGGCACTTCGGATGCTCTTCCGGTCATCATCCTCAGAGTCGGGCTCCAGGCTGCTCCGCTGGAATGGGACGGGTTTGTAGCTCAAGACCTCATTGATGGCAGCCTCCAGGTCTGGGTCCAGGTAAGAGTGACGGCTGACGGGGCGAACGCTGGAGCCCAGAGGCTCATCCAAGGGAGAGGGAGAGGCCGAGAGGCGTGGCTGGGGTGGCACTGATAAGCTGCGGGCCAGCGATGGGTGGCTGTACCGTGACTGAGCCTCGCTTAAGGCCACACTGGCTCCATTATCCCACTCATCCAGGCAGCTCCGGCCCAGGGATAGGCGGGAATCAGGGCTCTCCCTGCCTAGGCCGGAGGCCCGGCTTAGGGGAGGGCTGAGGGCCCTTGACAAACTGTTGAGGCGGGAGGTGCTTCGGTGGGAACTGGGTGAGCCTGACAACGAGAAGCTCAGGGAGGAGCAGGTCCCATCCTCAACAGAGCCACCCCTTGTGGCTGAGGAGGCCCGACTGACGGGTGCAGAGACGGCCGAGGCCCGGTCAAAGTCTGAGGCCCATCGCTTCTCTAGCCCCCGGCCAGTGCGGCTCCCGACCTCTGAGAAGATGGAGCTCCGCTCATCTAGTTCCTCGGACTTCCTGCCCTGGCTGGGCTCCTCCCTGGGGCCTGTGCGGGCCTTCCTGGGGGGCCTCTCAGGGGAGGCTGCCCGCTCACTCAGGGTGGTGAAGAGTGAATCCTCATCCCCAGCGCCCCCGATGGAGTCCTTTAAGGTGAGCCGTTTCCGATAGCTCAGGGAGCTCAGCACAGAGGCTGGCCTCTCCTCCACCCCCTTGCCCTCCTTAGAGAGGGTGTTGAGGGCCGTTCTGAAGGAGGAATGTGAGGCCGGGGAGGAGAGAACCAGTAGTGGATTAAAGGGTACAGATAGAGAGAGAGAGAGAGAGAGAGGAACAAGAATTAAATCTAGAGAATAAAGACACAGGAGGAGGGAGGGGAAGGAGGAGAAAACGCCAGCAGCCCTGGCAAAGTGGTGGTGAGAGCTTCAGAGGAAATGAAGCAAAATAATTTGCAGGCAGTGAAAATAGCTTCATGGAGAATGTCATGTAAATTAGACTATTGTTCTATTTCATCACTTTTCCCCTTCTAAAACGTTTAGTTCAATTTATTTCATTGTCAACTACCTGGAGCCTTGTGCCACGCCGTGGTGAACGACAGTGGGGTGGGGAAGGTGGCATTATGTGCAATAACAAAATGTTGTTTGGCCGAATAAATTAAACCAATTAGAGGGGGCCACTGGGTGCTGGTGGTCAACGGCTGGACTTGGGGAAGGGGTTCCTCAGGGGAGTTGGGGAGCCAGCAGGAAATTACTTCTTCTACCCAGCCCACCTGCTGTCTCTGGGAAGGGGTAGGGAAGGGTGTGCCCTGGAGGAGCAGACGGTACTGTGAGTTGGGAAGGAAATGTGTGTGTATGGGGTCAGGGGGTAGCAGGGAAGTGGTCATCGGGGGGAGGAGGGAGCGGAGCAGAGGGCTGGCTAAGTAGGTAAGGGATGGGGAGGAGGAGCCCTGGATTCCAGGGGTAGCTGTCTTTGTGTGATCAGAAGACTGACTGGGCTGGAAAATAAGGGAACAAGTTCTCCCAGTGGATGAGCGTTAGCATGCAGCATGGAGACGTGTGTGAAAAGATTAGAGGAAGGAGAGAACGGGCTGAGAAAGACAGAAATGTGTCTGTAGCTGTGACAGGGAATCAGGGAACCAACCAGTGCCTTTTCTGCTGCTATTCCCATTATACCCTCAGAGGTCCAGAGCTGGCCCTATGCAGAGTTGTGGGGTCCAGAGCTGGCACTGTGCAGAGTTGTGGGGTCCAGAGCTGGCACTGTGCAGAGTTGTGGGGTCCAGAGTGCTCCTGTGCCCCATCTCAGTCTTGATTCCAAGGACCCAAACTATCACATGGTTCAATAAATATTTCTTAAATGAGTAAGTGGGGATGAAGTTAAACTTGTATCAAACCAAAGCCCTGAGGCCAATAGGAAAATACTACCTGGAACAATAGGGAGATGTAGGCCCTAAGAAGAAACTGAACCTCCTCCTGAGCTCATTCCACGTGCCAGGAGCATGCTGGGGCCCCTCACACAGACGACAGGTGTGAGGGTTGTGTAGCCTGCCCCCTTTGGGATCAAGGCACTGCTCATCCATCCCTGGTGGCACAAGATGACTTTCCCTCCCAGCTCAAGGCCACATGCTTACCTGGAACTCTTCAAGCTGCCATCATCAGAAGCTGCCTTGGAAGGTCCCTTGTTTTTTGACAACCACGACTTGACCCCATCGACCCTGTCCTCCAGCTCTGAGTCCACATCTGAGTCCCCCTCACTGTAGAGATGAAGAACAGAAAGGTAGGCAAGGCCAGACAAGAGGTGGTCACCTGCTGCCCAGGAGGGAGAGCTGGAGTGGGAGCAGGGTTTGTCTTCGGCAGGGGTGAGGTGCAGGGGGCATGCGCATAGGTGAGTCAGGAAGGAAAACAAGAGAGGTTAGATGGAACACATCATTCACATGGATCCTGTCCCCACTCAGCCGGCCATACTGTGTGATGGCCACCAAGAAGACCCTGGGGAGCATGGGGGCACCTCCCATCCCGGTTATCCGTGACAGGCAGCTGCTCAGTCAACCATTCAAAGAGAATGACAGGAAGACCATCCATTCGTCAATTACAACTAAATGGCTCTTGGTTAAAAAGAGAAGTCCTGGCCCTTTAGCTACTCCCTGAGGCCTACCCTGTTATTTCTTATCTGTCCACTCGCACAAAACGCGGCTACAGCTCCTGCCGTTTTCCATGCCGCTATTGCCAGAGCTGGGCCACTGGCCATGGGGCTGCCTCATATGTGACTTCAAGATAGTTTGAACCTAGAGGTCTCCTTAGCTGACAGTAACACAATGCTGTGCACTAGGCCACATCCCAGACCTACTGTGTGGCTTCCCTGGCCATTAAGAATCAGGGAAAGGAAAAGGAGAGCTCTCGTGGCATCTGCATTTCCTGAGGAACTGGCAACAGCTTCAGGATTCAAATCACCCCAGGAGACCCAGAAAGTCCAGAACAAGGGTTCTGTCTCTGTAAGTTTCCCTCCCCTCGCTCAGGCAGTCTCCAGCCCTTGCACCACAGTGCTTCTTCTGGCCAAGCGGGCCTGAGCCCTCTGCACTTTCAGGAAAGCCCAAAGGAGTCATGGTGACCCCCTTACTAAGCAGCTGGGGCTCTGAGACAGCTTCTGAGTGAGAATGTGTCTAGAATTTTGCAAAATGTCTGCTCACCACACTCCCCTGCTAGAGATATGCTAGGGTTTCTCCTTGATATAAATTTCCTTTCATCTGTGTCAACAGGAGCGGCCCTGTTCCTGAATTATGTTCTTGAATAAACAGCCACGGAGGCGCACGCCTGCACACGTACATTCACGCTCACAGGAAACCACCATACTCTGTTCTGGGGACTGTGAGAGAACCCGACTCGTGGGGAGGGGAATAAAGAGGCATATTTTATGGGTTTCCGTCAAATACAGAATTATAACAAAGATGAGGCTGGCTGATGCCCCCGGTAAACAGGAGTTTAGCAGACAGCCCCGAAACCGCTAATGCAAGCCCTGTGCCTGTCCGAGCCTGGCAGATTTACTGTGGTGCATGGGCCTCATGGAATGCCAATACCACCTGATTTATACACCCGTGCAAAAAACCTCCCTCTCTAGCTTCAGAGCCTGTAATTTATCACTGCCGTTCATAACCATATTGATTGCCTTTAGAAAGGAGGAGCTGTATGCATCGCAAAATCTACGTCTATGTCTACATGTTAAAAGCGTTTCTGTATAAATCTCCCTTAATACTGCGCTGTTTACTGCTTTCATTAAAGTTATGGCAATAACAACTGTATCTCTAAGTAAATCGAAACATTTTTCTGCCTGCTTTAGCATGCTCGCTCAATAACTTGGAGCTGGGGCCCAGCACTGCTGCGGAAGGAGCCACAGTACCTCTCTGCCATCAGCAGGAACCCGGTTGGAGCTGCATGCTCCGTGCGCCTGCGTGAGTGCATGCTGGTGTGTGTGTGGTGTGTGCAGTGTGTGTGTCTGGCAATGGTTTAGAATACGATCTTAAATGTGCATTTTATCAGCCCTCGAAGCTCCTACCGCCCAAGGATGGCAGGCTTGGAACACACGGGAGACAGACAGTCGTGGGCCCAGAATACGAATTCTCCTCCTTACGTTCCCAGCAGAGCAGCAGATGGGTTGAGAAGCTGACCTGCCTGCTCTCACCTTCCCTTTAGTTTCAAGCATCTAGGCGATGTTTGGGTTCTTTTCCTTAAATAATCAGGCCCGTAAACAAACTCCAGGGGCAGGGAGGCTCAGGGGGCAGTTGAAATTTTTAAATGGTAGAAATTAAACCTCACGTCAAATACAATTTATGTCCAGGCTCACGTGCTGTTAGTTAACTGGGAGCCGAATCGCGGGGGAACAAACAAACGGAGACAGAACGGCGGGGGATATTAATTGTGTGTGACAACTGGGCTCCAGCGGCCCTCTATCACTGTTACACCCTATTACATTTATCATTAGCTCTCACAGAGTCCTTTGCGTGGCCGCCAGCCCATCCTGGCCAGGGGAGGAGGCCTGCCCGGCAAGAGAGTTGGGGAGGAAACCCAATGCCACGCTGAAAAAGCCGCCGCCAAAAACAACCCTGTTGAACTTGACAGAGCATTGCCCTATCTGCCCCGGGGCCCGTGCATCTGCGTCCACTATCCCGCTCCCACCCAGAAAGAAAAAGAAGTGAGGGGTGGATTTGCCAAGTTTCCTGCCACCAGAGAGACAGCACCAACACAAGCATTCAGGGCCTCGCTCTGCCCAAGGTGCCCGCAGGGAGGAAAGTAAACATATCTGGCTGCGTTCCCTTCCTCTGCCACGGCAGAGCAGCCCGTGATTAGCTGCCTGAATGCTTTCTCCAAACAAGTAACTATTAGATGCCCCTCACCTTCTATCCTTGTCTGCCAAAGGAAGGTGGTAGACCTTAACAATGAACATACATGCTCCTCTCAGGCAGCTCAGGTCCCTAAGGAACCCAAGGATGTGGGCAAATCCAGCCCAAACAGAACCTTCCCCAGAAAAATAGGCCAGAGAGGTGGCTACACTTGGTTTCTGAGGGTGGAGTGGGCTGGGACTCAGGAAGGCAAGGCTCTTGGTACCACCGAATGAGGCTGAGCTTTCCTTTCCGACGGAGCCCCCCTATCCTGCCCACTAAGGGCGTTAGGGTCAGCCTGAGCCTTCCAGGGGGCACCCCTCATTGCCTGCCCTCTACCTCTGACGCCAGGGCTCAGCCATTCCCCGCCTCCCCTTGTACAGAGAATCTGTGAGCAGTGTTAGCATTAGAGACTAGCTGGGGGAGGGTGCGGGGCTGTGTGTTCACGTGCAGCATGCAGCGATGCCCTGGGTGGGAGCCCAATGTTAGGGGCGGTTAGACACCCGGAGGAGAGGCAGAGAGCGCATGCGCTCCAGTCCTCACAGTTTATTCTTTCTTTTCTGATACTTTGTCACCATGTCCTGCAAACTAGAAACAGAAAGAAAATGGTGGGCCAGAGGAAGACAATTCAACAGGCAAACCAAAATGGACCCTCAGCTAGGAGCACCGAGAAACAGCTCTGGCTGGCTGACATCAGCGATGAGTAAGAGTGCTGTCCTCAGATGGCAGCCCAGGCTGCCCCCAGCCACCTTTCCCTGCCCAAAGGAGAGGGTTCCCTGGACTGCTGGGATCCTGCCTGAGGATGGGGCCCTGGCCCTGATGCGGGAGGAGGGCAGATCAGCGGCAGCTTCTCCAGGGCTGGACCCTGTCCCTGAACTGCCGATCTGCAAGCCTCTTGATTTCCTCCTCAGCCTAGGACTATAAATCTCTCTCTTTCTACTAAACCATTCCCTGGGTGGGTTTTATGAAGAAAATCTCTGGCGGGGTAACAAGGCACTACAGCCCTTAAATCTCTTGTCTCCCCAGAGTGGGGCAGGCGCCATCTGAAATGCAGCTAAACGGCGGAATAACTCACCTTGAATAAGCAAAGGGCTGGAGAGCCAGGCTGGGTACAGGAGGACGGGGAGGAGGGAGGGGAGGGCTGTCACCTGGGTAGCACCATCCTATCCTTAACCGCAGCAGAATGGGGTCCATGCTGGGGTCTGGCAGCAAGGAGTGGGGGTGGGTTTGTGTCTTGGTGACAGGGAGACACAGGTTGCAGCTGTTATACCTGGTGGCCTGGCTCCACAGGCACTCAAGAGGGCTCTGCAGCTGCCATAGAGGCCCATTCCCTCACCTGTTGATGAGGTCCTCATTCTCATCACTCTCCATCTCGTCCTCGATGGCTGCCTGCAGGTCCCCAATACGCTTGAAGGCCAGCTTTAGATCAGCCTGCAGGCTCTGGTTAGCAGCCTCCAGACTTCCCAGATCCATCTCCTAGGAGGAAAAGTGGGCAGTCCAGTTTGTAGGAGGGCTAGTTTCTCCTCCAGCTGCCCCAGAAGAAGTCAGCTTCATGTCTCCCAGCCCATGAAGGCACTACATGTCTGCTGCTACAAGCCACCAGAGTCGTTTTTGCTCTGGTGTAACTGGGATGTTGGGGCCTGGCCTCACCGATGGAGACCCAGGTATTACCCTGGCTCTCTGGCCTGCCCTATAGACTTCCTGGGCTGTCCTCTTGACACACTCCTGCCCCTTCCAATTCTCTAAACCAAGGTTTCTTTGCTGCCTGTCCCCCACCAGCCCAGGGGGTGAGGTCTGCACTCAGCAGCCACTCAGAGGGCTGCCAGTTGGGGCCCCAAGGCGGTGGGAGGGGGGCGTTACCAGTTCATGCTTCTTGCGGCTCGCCTCCGCCTCCTTCCTGGCAAGCTCGCCCATCTCTTCCTTGGTATCCCGGAGCTGCCGCTGGAGCCTCTTGTTCTGCTCCTTCTCCCGGTTCTCAGCTGCAATACGCTGATCCCGCTCCTCAGTCAACTTCTCCATGTTTTCCTTGAGCCGGCTCGCTAGGCTCTGCACAGGTAGGCGGGGAAGAAAGACCCAGCAAGTAGGTCCATCAGAGTTCAGGAGTCAGGAAGCCTGGGTTCAAGCTTTGGCTCCACTACTCACTGGCTATGTGGACAAGCAACCAAAGCCCTCCGAGCCTTCCTTTGTTTTTCTGTAAAGTGGGGAGAATAATACCTATCTCCCAGCAGTCCTTTGAGAACTGAATAAGGTAATGTATGTGAAAGCACTTTGGAAAATGGAAGGTACTATCATCATTACAGAGGCCGCAGGGTGGCGCAAGTGGTCTGCATTTGACTATTAATTGAAAGATTTGTGGTTCGAACCCAACCAGTGGTGCTATGAAAGAAAGGCCTGGAGATCTGCTTCCATAAAGATTACAGCCAAGAAAAACCCTATGGAGTTCAGTTCTACTCTGTAACACACGGGGTCACCCTGAGTTGGAATCCACTCAATGGCAGTGGGTTTGGTTTGGTTTTGGTGTCATCATTATTACTGCCGAGAATGAGGGAAGAATTCTGGATAGAGCCCGGTCTGTTGGTACTGACGCAGTGTGTAGGGGCCTAGATAGTAATCAGCAAGGCTTCCTTCAGAGACTCTGAACCCAGATGCCCCAAAAGCTAGATCCTGTGTCTACAGATAAATGGCTTTACTGAGAAGGAGACTCAACTGTCATCAGATTCCACGCAGAAAGCCATTCCTCTAAGCCTAATGAATCTTTCTTCCCCCAGAAAACTGAACATGTTCTCCCTGCCAGACAGTAGGATGCTGAGCAAGAAGAAATGACCAGGAGAGAGGGGTTGGGTATGAGGGGAGGGAGCCTGCTTCTGGTTCTAAGCTGGGCTCTACCACTGACCAGTTGTGAGGTACCCATCTCTCTGCCCCCAGCCTCTAAGTCTCTCAAATAACAGACTTAGGCGACATGATCTTTAAGGTCTGTTTGGGTTTAATGTTCTAGAATTCTAAACCACAATACTGCCTTTCTGAGCAGAAGGGAAGCTGAGGGGTGGAGCTGAGGGAGGAGACTGGGCCCAAGAAAAAAGAAGGCAAGTCCAGCAGGTCTGCCTGGCACCCACCAGACCAGTGTTGTCTTATGCCCTTTGACAGCTTTGTGACTTTAGGCAACCTACTTAACCTTTCGTGTATATAGACCTGGGATCAAAAGATCACCAACCATCGTGGGGTTGTGGTGGGCAGAAAATGAACCAACGAATGTAAAATATCTGTTACAGTGCCTGGTAAACAGTAAGTGCTTAATTAACTGTAACTACTGTTAAGTGTCCTCTAACTCTTTCTAGGTCTCCTGAGGACTGTGATCCTGTCTTGGGAAGTTGAGCCATATTATCTTCCTACATCAAGGTTATCTGTCACTGCCCTCTGGATGCTCTCTGCCAGCCTCACAGTCACCTGTTTCCCTTCCCACCCTAGTGCTTGCTCTGTGGGATGAAGGGTTGATGGGGGGAAGTGGCAGGGGTGCTCCTAGGCAACCACACCCACGAACACAGTTTTCAGGCAGAGCTGATAGTGCTTAGACAAATGTCTATAAGCTTGAGAAGGAGAACTTAGAAATAAGGGGTATAAATCCAGAGGGATAATTCTGCCTGCTTCTCTTATGGTAACCCCATGTGTTACAGAGTAGAACTATTCCATAAGGCATAGGGTTTTCTTGGCTGTAATCTTCACTAGGCCTTTCTTGCATGGCCCCGCTGAGTGGGTTCAAACCGCCAACCTTTAGGTTAGTAGATGAGTGTCAACAATTTGTGCCACCCTGGAACCTTCTCTCTTCCTGCCTGCTGTGATAGAGACGGCAGGGCCTGGAGCAGCATACTGGCTTTGGGAGACTGGAACAGATAGGATTGAATTTGGAGGATGGAAGTTACCGTCAGGAGGAAGGAGAGATATAAAGGCAGAGGAGAAAAGATGTGAACAAAAAAAGGAGAATGGATCAAGGAAAGAGAATGAAAAATATGTGAGGTGGGGAGCAAGGAAGACATGGGAAGAGAGTAAGAAGGAGGAATAAGATTGGGGAGAGGGAGAAAAACAAAGGGCAAAGAAAGAAAAGGGCAATAGTAGAGAAAAATGAAAGGAGAAGAAGAAAAAGCAGAGACGGGAAGGATGGAAGAATTGAGGATAGAAGGGAATGAAACAGGGAAGGGGAGAGAAAGAGAGCGCACTGAGATGAGAGAACAGACTTCAACCCTCACAGAAGTGGCGCCATCCGCTGCATATTTATGACCCTGCCAGAGAGCGAGTGAAGGGGATGGCGGTGGGGTTGGGGGGGGAGCCGGTGGTGGAGGAAAATATGAAGACAAAAAGCTTAGCTGCTCTGGTCCCTTGGCAGAAAGCAAGCACGGAAACAGCATGTAAATCAGGCAGGCTCCATGGTGCCCAGAGAGCAGGCCAGGCAGGGCGGGAGAGAAGGCACCTGCCCTGTCAGCTGGCCTGGCAGCTTGCAGCCGCAGATCCACCAATTGGCTCCTCCCAGCCTGGTCAAAGGGCCTCTGAGGATCAGCCAGGGGCCTGCCCAGCCCTGTGGAGTGTGTGTGGCTCCAGCTGTTGGGGCGCATCTATCCCACTCACTGCGGACTAGGAGAAGGGCACACCCACCTCCAACCGCTTTACTTGGGTCCTTTCAAACTCCAGGCGTGTCTCCAGCTCCCGGATCTTAGCTTCTTGCCTGCTCACCAGAGACTTATCCACCATGGACTGCTCCAGGAACTCCACCTGGCTCTGGAGGGCTTGTAGCTGGGGGTGGAGGGCAGGAAGAGAAGAAAGAACTGAGTCCAGAAAGGGAGAGGGCAGAGCCTGGGGAAGGCAGTATCACCATGGTGACCAGAAGGCTGAGGCAGGGAGGGATGCACAGGAGAGGGTGGAAGGATGGGGCCCTGAGCCAGAGGCATCCTCCACCTGCCCCAGTGCTTGGCACAGATCTCGCCCTTTGGAGAGAAAGAAGAAAGCTAAGGACCAGAGAGGGAATAGAAATAAGAAATGAGGCAGCTGAAGCCAAAATGTCTGCTATGGTGATATGGCTCCAAGCCTAGCTCTTTCCACTAGTTTACGCTGCTCTCTGGATTGCTGATGGCTGAGAAAAACACATTTTATCCTATGAGCTTGAGGGGTTCATCCCTAATTAAGGTCTCCACATACATGGTGACCACAGTACCCTTTCTCTAGCAAGGAAGACCCTGGTCCCCACCTTCTCCTGTAGCTCTTGCTTCTCCTTGTTGGCTTCTTCCAGCTGAGCTTGGAGATCATTCATCTGAGCCAGGTCCCGGGAGGCCTAGGAAAAGAATGATTCCCTGTAAATACCAAACCCAGCCCATTCCACCCCCACACTGAGTCCCAGGGCACACGGGTACCCATACTGCAACCTTCCAAAAGAGGGAGCTGCCCTAGGGACCCATGAGGAGGGCCAGAAGGCCAGTGTCTGGGCAGGGTATGCTGGTGCCTGTCTCGGTAGGGTACCTGAGCTACGGCTGCTTTGTGCTTCTTCATCAGCTCATTCATGTCCTCCTGATCCTCTTCCAGGCGGTTCTGGATCTCATTCTTCTCACGTTGAAGGCGGCTCAGCTGCTCCTCCAGCTGGGCGGAGGCAAAGACAGCCCAGAGGGCATCAGACCTCAGGTGGCAAATCCAAACTTTCCCCCATGTCACCTGCAGAAAGGCTCACCCATCTGTGTAGAGGGTGATGATGGGGCCGGGCCCACTCCCTGGAGCAGGTTCCAGAACCAGTGATGCTGAGGGAGCTGCCTGCCCTGCTCTGGGCCCAGGAGACAAGGGGAAGGGCTGTCTCTGCAGCACAGGCAGACCCTGGGCTTCTGGGCTAAATGATAGCTGCTTCCTGGCAGCTCTCTGGAGGCTAGTGAGAAGGCAGAAAAGGTCTGCCCAGAACAAATGATCCACCATCTTGGCACTATCAGCTTAGGCCCTAACCTCCATGCACTCTGCCCCCTTCAGGCCCTAAGAAAGGACCTCTCAAATCTGTGAAGCTCTTCTGGCTTGGGTTCTCCTTTCGCCTGGGACAGCTCGCTCCCTGGCCATGCAGCCCTCACAGCCAGTCCACTCGGGTGGGGAGGGGAGGAGACAAGACAGCCAACAGCAGCTTCAGGAAATGAATGAATCTACTAGCCTGTAATTCCAAACCAAAATGACTGCGTTGGCTCCTTCTCTGCCCCATCCATCTTGTTACCGGCCTGTGGGGAGCTGCGGAGGCCTCCGCCAAGAAATTTATTAACTCAGATTTAAATAAAATGGTAATTTTATAACAGCCTTTTTTAACGCAATTAAGGAATTTGAATTACTTACCTGAAAACTGCTGAGGAGCACAAACGTCACGGGGAGAAATGAAGCCCGTGAGATTGGCATCTCTCAGCAGCTGGATGACAAGGTGGAGGGACATGGAACCAACAGCCAACCCCAGCCTCCCCTGCCCCATTCCCTGCCCAAAGAGGTACTGGGGGCCGCATCCCAGTAATGACTTCTCTGCCAATGGATGGGCCGAGAGAGAGGTAGGGAATTAAAAGGGAGGTATTAAATAACAGCTCTAATTAGCTGCCGCCTGGGCTTGTCAGTGGGCTAGGCAGGGGAAGGGGAGGGAAGTGGAGCCATCCCATCCTCTTATCGGTGCTTCTGCTAATCTCTAGGCACCTGTTTACATCCCTCAGCCACATTAGCTGCCTTTATTTACAGTGTTGGGGCCTGCAGCCAAGCTCCCATAGGCAGGTGGTTAAACAGGGAGATGGGCCCTTGTTGGCTCCCTCTTCCCGGCCTGCCCCTCTGAGCAGAGAGGGCCAGGGGAGGGGTGGTCTGCTCTCCGTGCAGAAAGCCCTGGTGTAACGGAGGCTGGTGGGGAGTGTCCTCGTCACCACTGTCCCAGTTCTGTCTCCTGCAGCCCCCAGAGCCCTGCCCTGCACACCCTGAACCCTCACCGCTGTCTTGGCTTTGGTGATGTCACCAATCTGCAGGTGCAGGTCTTCGATCTCCACCTCCATTGCTTTCCGTGCTTTTACGGCTGCTGCACAGGTGAACTCTGACTCCTCCAGCTGGACAGAGAGCCACCCCAACCCCAGAGAGAGATGTCAGCCATTCCCTGGGGCAGGAGGGTTGTACGGGGGTGCTTGCAGGGGAGGGGGAGCCCAGGCGCTCTCCTTCTGCTCCTCTGCTCACTCAGACCCCAGGGCTGGGGCACGTGTGCTGTATGCACGTGCATCTCCCCTGTGACAGGATGGTGGGTGCCAGGCCCACCCACACTGGACTAGGTGACCCTCCCCCAGGGCCTACAAGTGGCTTTTTCCCCCTTTCCTGACACCTTCCTTCCAAGGACTCAAGAACCACTAAAAGGGGCAAGAGGGGAAGAGAGAGAACTGAAAAAACAAGCTCCATTGCCCCTGGGGCCAGCGACTTCCTCTCTCCAAAGACACCTGGTTCTTCAGCTGGGCGATCTCCCTCTTGCTGGGTGCATTGTTCTTCAGGTGGTCCAGCATGATCTGGGCATCTGCCAGCAGGGCCTTAGTGCGCTTCAGGTCTTTCCGGAGCCGCTTCTCTGACTCAAAGTCCCGCTGGTTCACCTGAGTGGACACTAGAAGTTGGAGGTCTGGGCTCTGCCACAGGGCTCCTTCTGTCCTCCCCAAGCCTGCTCCTCACCACTGCCCTCATTCGCTCAGAGTACTTTAATGAGCAATGACAGTGGAAGGGCCTGGATCACGTTCCAGCCAATAAGAAAAGCTTGAGAGTGCCAGTGTATGGTCCTGGCCTCCATTCCACAAGTGATGGCAATGCTCCCCACAGAACCCAGCCCCCGGCCCCCAGCTTTCTGTCCCTAAGATTCCCATCCCTAAGGCCAGATGGGGCAGGCTTTTGGCAGGCCCCAGCCAGAAAAAGGGGGCCCTGCTCACCTGATCGCTGAGTGCAGTGAGCTTGCTCTCCAGCTCCCGCTTGTCTCGCAGCACCTTCTGCTTGTCCTCATATTCCTCCTCCAGCTGCACTTCCATCTGTTTTAACTGGAGTACCATGAGGACAGAAACCCATTAGTCCTTTTAGCATTCAGCACCAGGCAGTCCCCTTCCCTTCTGGGTCCACCCACCCAGGGAAAGCAGTGGGACGGAGCTGAGCATGGATGACCGCAGAGGGTTCAGAGCCTGAATGTGAAGTTCCCAGGGTTTCAAAGGAGGCTAGCAGGGAGAGGAGGGATGGCAGGCCACACACAGCAGCCACACAAGCCACAGTAGGAGACCTTGCTCCACAGTGGGACAGGGCGCTGTTCTGCCAGGCTAGCTGACCACAGGCAAACACCAGAGACACAGGTGGGCATGAGACGGGCTGCTGCTTGGCAGAGAAAGCAGGGAGAATTAGTGCCTCAAGGACCTATGCTTCTCTACAGATTCTGAGGAAACATATTTCAGCCAATGCCAGGATCCCGAGAGGAGATTCCTGGTCCAGAATGGTAATGGAAGACCATGAGGCTAAAGTAGAAAACAGAAAACCCCTAACTTTAAAATAGTGATGGGAAAACAGGTATTTATACCGGACAGGTAAGTGCGCAGGTGCCTTACCTTCTTCTGACATGACTGCCGGGCCTCCTCCACCTCCTCATCCCGACTCTCCATCTCCTTGGAATGGGTCTGCCTCATCCGTTCCATCTCCATCTCTAGACGTAGCTTGGCCTGGAAGGGGTTGGGAGGAAGGATTGGGTTCCTTTCCCAGCAGCGGCCAGCCCCCTGCCCACTGTACCTGATGGGCAGCTCTCCCCAGGCTCAGGAGCAGCGAACATCTCTGCCAGCCAGCACTCATTGCTCCCACCTTGTTCCTGTGGCAGCTGGCTCCTCCCCAGAAGCCGAATACCCTTACTAGATGTCTGGCATGGGCCCAGAGAAAGGCTACTGGGGGTGGGGGTGGGGACAACCCTGCAGCTTTTCCATTTGGCTTCCAGGCTCTAGCTCTCTGAACTGGGTAGGCTTATGTCCCAAAGGCCTAGAAGAGGGGAGGAGGCTGCTATGCATCCAGAGCCCCTCACTACTGGAGCTCAAACAATTCATTACTGTTCAAAGCTCATGGAAACTTAATTGTCTTCACACTGTGTTTGGCACAGATCAGGTATTCCAGTCAACATTTTTCAAGTAAGTGAACAAATGAACGAATAAACAAGTGAATGTAGGATCTTGCCCTCTTCTGGCCCACACCCTGGGTTAGCAGTGGGATGGTGGTGCCTCTGGATACTCCTCATCCCTCCCTTGGCCAAGCCCTCCAGCACCTGCTCCAGCATCTGGATGGTCCCCGCCTGCTCGTCCAGCTCCTCTTCCTGATCTTTGACCTTGGCCTCCAGATCCCGGAGCTGTTTCTTGACCTTGGCCAGAGAGGCTTCATCCTTGGACTCTTGAGAAGAAATGTCCTGGAGTTCAGCCTCCAGTGAAACAACCTTCTGGGTGAACCCCGCAATGTCCATGTCTTTTTCCTGGAGCAAAAGAGAAGATGAGGCTGGCCTGGGGCTGACCCTAGCCTGTGAGGGAGACTGGGCACAAAGGGTGGGCAGCCCCACCCACCTCCATTTGTTGCTTCAGGCTGAATGCCTCCGCGAGCAGCATGTCCTTCTCTCGCTGCAGCTTCTCCCGCTGCAGCTTCTCCCGCTGGGCCTCATCATGCGCCTGTGAGAGCTCACTATCAAACCTGTGAGGGAGCAAAGCCATGGTGGCTCCATCAGATAACAGAGGAGTCTGGGGTCCCCAGCCCCCCAGACACTGCCAGGAAGCAGCGCCAGAGACATGGACAGGACGCAAGCCAAGGAGGGAACTCGTGCAGCTCTAACTTGGGGCCAGTAGTGAGGTGAGGGTGACATTCTGGGGTTACAGGTGAGGCCACCAAGACCATGCTGAGCAACAGGTCATTTCACTGAGTGGGTCCAAGGAGCCCTTTCACCAAGTGGGCCTAAGAGGGACCCACGAACTGCTTCCTGGGAAGAGGCAGGTAGACTCTCTCCTAAGTAGTCAAGTCTCTACATTTCCCATTTCAACAAAGAATGAGGGACCAGGGTAAGGGCAGAGTGGGCATCGAAATGAGTAGAAATGGGTGGCTCTGCCCCATCTAACCCACTTGCCGCAGTTCAGTTTGGCAACTTCAAGTGCAGTTGCTCCTGTACCACTTCTAGGCAGCGTTTGGCCAGGCCCACCTACCCACGCAGCATCTGCGTCACCACCAGGACACCCCACACTGGGCTCAGAGCTGGCATTCCCACTGCGCCCAGCTGGTGGTAAGCTTCAATAGGCACACAGTTGGGGGCCTCTTTCTTCACTCCTGTATGTCCCAGCCTTCCATTTCCCGCCCAGTGACTCCAAATAAGGAGCAAATTGCTGAAATTCCTCTTAACACCTTCCCTGAATAGCTAATCAGGTTCCTGTCGAAAATTGAACATTTCCCCTACTCCCTGCCCCACATCGAAAAAAAAAAAAAAAAGTAAGAAAACGCCGGGCAGCTGAAACTTAATAAGTTCCCCAGCAGGGAGTGTGGCAACACAATAACTAGGCCGTGCTGGCACCATCATGGGGCGCTCAGGAGGGGGGTCCCATTAAGGGTGCCAGCCTTTGAGTAAAAGAGTAGGGTGGGGTAAAGATAAGAACTAGGGGAGTGGATAGTCTTGGTGCTGGCTGAGGGCACGGGAGGGGGGAGTATAAGACCCTCCTATTCCCCCTCACTCTCCTGAAGGAGAGGCTCAGCTGGGAGGATGCTATGGGTGCAGGAGGCCAAGGGTAGCTCAGGGTCACTGGAAGGACTCCACTCTGCCATCCCCACTCTGAGGGTTGTGGGGTGGGGCTGCCCCTTCACAAAGGCAACTGGTGCCTCTGCCGAGAACCCCTTCCCCTGCCGAGGGGAAATGGGCTCTGCTCCCACCCCTGGGGGCACCCCGCTGTTCCCAGGGTATGTGGGTTCCTCAGTGCTGCTAATAAAGGTGCCCCATTCCCATCCCCAGTCAGGGAAATTAATTTAGATTGGATTTCCCCTGTGAGGGCTGCCCCTCCTCTGTGTCATTATCATGATGAGATGGAAGTGGCATGGTAGTTTAACAACATTAGTCAGGAGAGTGTGTTTGTAGCTGAGGAAAGTGAGAGATGGGGAGTGGGGTGGGGGCAAGGGGCAGGGATGTGGTGGAGGGGCTCCTGCATGGGGCATGGCTGATCCCCATCCTTATTGGGCCCGGGACAGGGGAGGCAGGCACACACTAGGGCTTCCACAGGAATAGGAGTGGAGATGGGAGCCCAGCTGAGCACCGAGGGCTGAGAAGGCCTTCAGTGGTGACACAGCTGAGTCCTCCCTACAGATCAGCAGTGAGCCCCAATCACATTCCAGGGCGAGCGGCCATGTGGGCAAGGCCCTTGGAGAGGGGCAGGGAGCCCGGTCTGTGGCTGCTCTAGGAGGTGCTGAGGCCCTCTGAGCCCTGGGCAGGGGCCCACCTACCTCCTCTGTTTCTTCTCCAGCTCATGGTTGCGGACCTGCTGGCCCTCCAGGTGCAGCTTGGTGTCCTGCAGCTCAGCTGTCAGCCGCTGGCACTTCTTCTTGAGCTGCTGCAGAGCCCGCTGGCTCTCATCACTGTCTGCTTGTAGGTCCCCGAGCTAGGGGCCAGGATGGGGAGTAGGGACAGCAGCTACTGAGAGGCCCGGAAGTATCGGTGGAGAAGATGAGGTGGGTGAGTGAGGGCACAGATCCAGGGATGAGGGATGAAACCAGAGTCATCCAGGAAACCTAGAAGCTCTCACAACAGTTCACTCCTGGTTGTCCACTGAGAGGCTAACACACCAATCTTGCCCTCTTCCTCTGAGGGCCTGCCTACCTCCACCACTCACTGAGCTAGCACATGGCCTAGCCCCTCCCAGCTGCTCCCAGCCACAGGGCTCAACTCCTTCCTTTGGACTCACCCGCCTCTCCAGCTGCCTCTTGTTCTGCTGCTCCACCTCCAGCTTGTCCTCAAACTCCTGCTGGAGCCGCTTCTTAGTGAAGTCCACCTCCCTCATAGCTCGCTCATACTTCAGGCGCCACTCGCCACCTGTGGGGTTAAGGGCAGATGAGTGAGGGCTGAGGTGCTGAGAGGCCCTGAGAAGGGACAGAGGGGAAGAAGGATAGGGCAGAGATGGGCAGTCGTGGGAGAGGCCCTTCTTCAGCCAGAGGGACTCAGAAAGGTCTCTGGACTGATAACTTCTCCTAAGGTAGGAGGAGCCAATGGTCGGGAGAAGACTGCCCTCTCCCCAGGGAATTCCAGGACTATGGCCCTCAGAAAATGTCATTATCATGACATGAGAACCCCCTGCATTTACTGATCTCTCTACTTCCTCATCTCTTTATTTCACTTTAGCTTTACAGCAGCCCTACACAGGGGAGACAGGCCTGGAGAAAGGGAACAGTCATCAGGCACTTCTCCCACCTCAGGCCCACCTGCATCATCATCCACTTCCCCGTTGATCTCAGCTGCCCGGATGAGACGGGCCTCTATCACCTCCATTTCCATCACCTCCATTTGCTTCTTCAGTGCATCGTACTGGGTCTGCAGAAGAGAGGGTTATGAGGTCAATGGTGGAGCACTTGGTGTGCCATTCCACCCTCACTCAGCACTACCGGTCCCCTGAACCGCACAGATCCTGGTCACATGCTTACCCAGGGCAGACAGGGATGCTGGGCTAGTTAGTGGCAAAGATGCCACCTGTCTTTAGGGGGAGGCAGACGGCCACTAGGGTGTGGCAGCTCACTAGCATGGCTGTCCTCACCCTAGCCCTGCCCTCACCTGCAGCTCCTTCATCTCCTTCTCAGCTCGGAGCCTCTCCGCTGTCTCTGCGTCCAGCAGCTGGGAGGCGGACTCTCCCGTGTTACGTTCATCCGTCAGCTCCGATGTCAGCTCTGAGATCTGGGGGTGGGGGAGGGAATCCACCACCAGTTGAAGAGCCTGTCTTACCTCAGCCAAAACACTGGTGTGGGGGGGCCTCAGTGGGTCCATCCAGCCACCTGGCAGGGGCAGGCCAGGCTGTCTAGTGCCAGGAGTCACTCACCCGGGTCTCCAACCGGTCACTGTTGAGTCGCAGCTCATTCCGCTCCTTCTCCACCTTCTCAAGCTTGCTCCGCAGCTGCTGGATCTCCTCCTAGGGCAGAGCAAGGAGGGTAAAGTGAGCCAGAGGCACTGCAAGGGGCTGGGGCACACTTGTCCCCACAGCTGTGGACCCCAGATCTGTACTCTCAGGGTAAAGCTCGGGCCAGGCCACAAGCAGGAGGCATGCCCCCAGCAGAAGAGCCCACTGCCTCCCCAGGGTCTCCTATCCCTAGCTAGTTCCCCACATGCCGAGGATGCCTGAGATTTTATCCTAAGAGGCTACCCAGGGGCTCAGGCAGCACCTCAGAGGGACGCCTTCGATTTGATGGGCACAGTTCCAGGAGACCAGCTCTCTGGACTCAACAAAGGAGCACCTGGGAGCCCAAGACAAGCCAGCAAGTCTCCCTCACATGTGGATGAACGATGGTCCCTTCCCTCCCAGTGACGTCCCCTTCCCAGGCTGTCTCGTACGTCTTTGTTCCGGATCTGCTCCTCTGACAGCTGAACCTCAATGAGGGGCCTCACAGTGGTAAAGAGCTTCCACCAGGGCCAGTCCTTCACCCCTTTGTTCTTCTTGATGTTCTTCTGCACACAGCGAATGGCCAGGTCCTGGATCTGCAGTGGGGTGGGTGGCATGCGGCAAGGCTCTCAATCTCTCTGGGCCCAGGGCTGCTTTCCCTGGCTAAGCCCAGCCAAGGGTCCTCCCCACGACCAGCATGGCCACTGACCCCAAGTCAAACCCTTCCCACACCACCCCTTGCCCCGCCATCCCTCAGAGAGTGGGCGGCAGAGAGCCTTGCTCTGGGAGCACTGTACTGGGCACTAACTGCTCCACCATCATTCGGAATAATTTCATCTGCTTTATTTGCTGCCTGATTATTTCCAGCACCCTGGCCTAGATGTGCTATAAAACCTAATCTTGCTGAAACACAAGAGGCGGCAGTGCTGGCTGTTTTATGGACTTGCTAATAAGAAAAAGAGGCGCTGACACAGCTTCTTAATCTTCATGGAGCAGCCTATGATCCAGAGCCCACCTTTGCCTGGGCCCTGCTTCCCCACCACACTCCCCTACACAGCCCTCTGACCAGGTCACATGGCCCCACCCCCGGGACACCAGCACACTCGCTGGCACCAAGGGCGCTGCCATTCCCCACCCTGGCCCACAGCATGCTGCCCCTGGGAGGTTCCTGCCCCTTGTCCTCCAGACGATAATTCAGCCCCAAGACTAGCCTCCTGACCCTGCACATTCCCTCGAGCGCTCCACCCCATGCCAGGAACTCAGCTACGCCCATCTAGGCTGGGGAATGGGAGCTGGGTATTGCTAGAGCAGCACCTTTCTCTTCTTGAAGTGTTGGCGGGAGAGGTAGCCCCTGCAGGCTGCCTGAAACAGGGTCAGGTTCCTGCTGGTTTGTTCATCCCGCTGCTCTTCTAGTCTCGCCAAGGTGCCAGCCCGGAAGAACACCTGTGGAGAAGCAGGCCAGGTGAGGTGGGAGCCAGGGCAGGGGCAGCCCAGTGGAGGACAGGGGGAGAGGTGGAAATCCAGCTGCCCAAGAGAGGAGGGGAGGAGTCAGAAGAGGCCCTGGGAAGCCTTAGGGAGAAGGGCCAGGCCAGGGGCTGGGAGGTTTTGGAAGGGGAGGAGTAAGGTGGGAAATCTCACTTCAAAGAGAGATGAAAGGAGAGCGAAGCCAAAGGGAAGATACCCGGGGCAAGGAAGAAAATAGAACAGTCACTGGTCAAACGGAGAGAACATCCTTCAGAACGTCTACGGTGGCTTCTACCCCCAGGACTGCCCACAGCATGGCCAATGCCCCACACCCACAGCCGGGTCCAGGTGCAATGGATATGTGTGCGTGTGTGTGTGTGTGTGTGTGTGTGTGTGAAGCAGTGTGCGTATGCGTGCGTGCGTGCGTGCGTGTGTGCGTGTGCGTGTGTGCGTGTGTGTGTGTGTGTGTGTGTGTGTGTCTGGCAGTGTGCTGAGAGAGGAAGGGGGAGAAGGGAGAGGTGCGGGAAGTGGGAAGCTCCTGCCTCTTCTCCTAAGCCTCGGCACTCCACTCGGTTTCATTTCAGGTCTCCTCTTTCATGTGCCAACACCCCACACCCAGGTTTCATCTTCCAATGATGAAGCCAGTGGGGTGGGCGGGGGTTGGCTTAGTCAAGGGACCTGTCATACTGGTTTGGGGGCTGAAGGACAGAGGTGTGAGGAACCAGCTGGGGGCCCCCACACCCAGCTTTCCTCTCACTCTTTGGTCTCCTGAGCTGGGGCCAGGTAAAATTTTCCTTACTAAGACAGGAGGAAGGCAGGGGAATGATTAGGTGAAAAAAAGGCCCTCGTATCCTTGAGAGATGACAAAGGGACACCTAGGTATATGTCTACCTCCACCTGGCACAGAACACAGGAGCTTCCCTTTTGTAGGACAAAGAGAAGATAGAGATCCCTGGGAGACGTGGCTTATATAAATGTGCTCAGAGCCAATAGGTACAGTACCCTAAGGCCTCCCTTCAGGGAACAAGAAGGGAGAGGGCCGAGACTTTCTGCTGAGAAAGCTGTACCTCTGGCAATTCCAGGAAAACCTGGTCCCCTGAGGCTGGCCTGGGAGAAAGCCAGCTTGGTCCTCTTCCACATTCCCCAAATCCCATATGTAGGGCTGCACACCTGGGACCTCGCACCGGACTTGAGTCCCCTACCTGTGCCTCATTTTCCCACAATGTGCGAGCCAGAAATTGCAGTGGTAGGTAGGGAATATCCAAGCTCCCCCCGGAGGTGGGCAAACATGTTTGGTCAGTACACAAAGGCTAACTGACTAGAAGTGAGGTGCCAGGGTGGGGGCCGAGAATGGCCCAGAAACACAACGGGAAGAGAAAAGATTGTCAAAAAACTAGGGCAATGAGTCTCAAACCTCTCTTGAACAGTGGTACATTTTGGAGTTAAGCGTTCTTTGGAGTATCCGATGAAAGCTCCAGGCCATCTCCTTCCCACAATACCCATAATACAAAATTTTACAATGTGAGGAAGCTCTCCAACCTCTAAAGTCCTTGCCTGAACCCTCAGGGGCCAGTGGGCTCAGATTAAGACACCCTTTCTCTGAAGCAATGTGAGGAGCACACAGGGAAGCCTTGCTCACCGGTCAGTGAGAACCACAGCCTGGAAGGCCCGAGCGGCTTCTTCCAAACCAGGTGGGAGCAAACACTGACTCTGCCTCCTGCTCTGCCCTAGAGCATGAGTGGGCTCTGGGGCTTGCCTCCCTCAGCCAGGCGCCTGGGATATCTCAGGACTGCAAAAGGCGTGAGATGGCAGTGGGAAGAGAGCCAGCCTGTACAAGCCCTCTCCTGTCCAAGACATGCCTGGGAACCTAGGAACTGGCTTGGAGGAGGTGCCAGGGCACCTGGTGGAAAAGCCCTACTGTGAGTCAATCCAAGGATAAACCAAGGGGCTGAAGTAAAATCCTTGATTCTAAACAACCCCAGGGAGTAAGCCCAACTAGCAGCCCCTGAGCTTAGAAAAAGTTGTGGGGGGAGGTGTGGGAGAGGAAAAAGGTGAAGGTAGACACAACACGGCAGAGACAGAAACAGAAAAATGAGGTGGAAAGAGGGTGGGACCCCAAAAGACACAGAGAACAAGCAGTGAAACAGAGACAAAAACAGCCAGAAACCAAGGAATAGAGGACCAGCAGAGACTGCAAGAACAAATAGGAAAAGGGAAGGTCAAGGACAGTAGAAACAAAGATAGGAAGACATGAAGAGACAGAGATGGAAAGGGAAAAGGAAAAGGACCTATAGTGAGAGACAAGGCAGGAGAAACCAAGAACATGACTCAAAATGCAGAAGAGAGAGGGGCAGAGAGAACAGAGTGGACAAATAATACTCAAGCCTTTTCTGCAAGCATTCTCTTCTACCTCACACTCCTCATGGGGTCCTGGGACCCTGAGCCCTCCTCTCTCTGCTGACAGGTGGACAGGTCCAGACCCTCTCTCTGGTTCCCAACTGCTTTCCCTCCCACCTCAGCCCTTGGAGCACATACGTGGATGCTGCCTGTCCAAGCTTCCTAGTCATGGGGGAGAAGGGCATGCTGGACTCCCCACCTGGTGAGAGCAACACTCAGCTGACCCTTTGGTGTGGACTGATGTGGCAGACTGGCAACCAGGGGCAGGCGTGCCAGTCTTTTATGAACTACATTCCTTTCTGATAAGGAATCCAGCCTGTGAGCAGGGGATGGTGGCACAGCCTCGCCATCTCCTGCTTGCTCTTCTCACACTCTGGCAGCCCCAGACCACTTGCCAAAGGGGACTCTGCCCTCTGGACCACCACTCTGCCTACTGCCTTCCTGCTTCTTCCAGCCCTCCCCTCCCGGAGCCCAGCCCTTCTGTCGCCCCCACTCCCCACACCAGGGCTCAGCCCAAGTGGAGACCCATCCTCCAATCCACTCCCTCTTGACATCACAGGTGCTCATGGCGCTGAACAAGCCAGTTATTCAGAAGGAGGGAAAGTCAAGTTTGCTAGAGCTGGAACATCTTCCTTCCTGGCCCCTAGCTTGAAGGGGCAGCTTGAGAGGAGGGACAACTCATGAGGGGTAGGGGTCAAGACTCAGAAGGGGCTCTAGGAACTTCTGAAGTCTGACTGAGCGGAGAGAACAGGAGGGGAGGGTCAGCCATCTGGATAAGGGAGGCCAGAGAGGGAGGGTATGACTGCCCTCCTTCAGGGACAACTCACCCGGCTCAGGCCCATGCAGCAGCTGCTCTTCTCCAGGTCCAAAGACTCCAGCAGCTCCTCCACCGCCTGCAGAGAGAGGCCTGTGTCAGGGAGCCCTCCCAAGGACTCCCCATCTCCATTCACTCAGTCCTTCCTCCCTCGTTCATTCATTCAATCATTGATTCAAAAAATACTTCTGATGAATATTCACAGTGTCAGGCACTGTGCTAGACTCTGGGGACATAATGACAACTACAAGAGTACCCATCGTCGAGGAACAAACTATCTTGTTGGGAAGCCAGAGAAGTGAATTAGAGAAGTACACAAAGGAGAAGGCATCTACGTCAGACAAGGGGATGATGGAAGCTTCCCTGGAGGAGTGCCGCCTGTGCTGAGTTCTCAGATACAAGTAAGGATTAGCTAGACAAAGTCGCGGAAAGGGCAGAGGGACCAGCCAGCATGAACAAGAGGCATGGGAGCTAAAACAGCAGAATGCCCTGAGGAGACTCCCAGTGGTTCACTCCGCCTAGAATGAAGTGGGTGGGAGTGGTGGAGCAGCTAAAGGTGCAGCTAGAGAGGTGGGCATGGCCAAAGCATGGGGGGCCCTGTGTGCTTTGGGAGCCCCTCAAGGGTTCTCTCACGGAGGGACATGATCAGATTTGCAATTTACAGAGATCCCACTGGCACCTGAGTGGAAGATGGATGGAGACCCCCTACTTAGGCAGCCACTGCAGCAATCTATAGGAGAGGAAGCTAGCCTGACCCAAAGGAGACAGAGGAGAGGAAAGTGCAGGAGATGTGAAGGAGATAGAAGCAGTATCCTTGCTGGATACCAGGGGCGTAGGGAGGTACATAAGAGGGAAGAATCTAGGGATATGCCGAGGTTTCTGACTTATGTAACTCAATACATAATGGTGCCATGCCCTAAGGTAAGGAATACAAGAGAAGGAGTAGGTTTGAGAGGAAATATAATTAGCTTGGTTTGAACACAATGAGTTTGAGGTGCTGTAAGGCATACAGGTAGAGAAGTCCAGCAGGCAGCTAGATAGAAATATGTGTCTGAAGCTCAGGAGAGAAGCCTGGGCTAGAGGTATTGATTTGAGAGTCATCAATACATATGCGGTAGTTCAAGTGATGGGTGTGAAATTGTCCAGGAAGAGGGTATAGGATAGAAAATATATATGGTCAAGGACAGAGTCTTGAGGAAAAGAGATCTTTACCTAACGGGCAGATAGAAAAGGAGAAGCTCAGAGGGACTGACAAGGAAAGAACAGAAACAAGGGGAAAACCAGGAGTGGCAGCAAAGAAGCCAGGCAGAGACTGTTTCAAAAAGTATGAAGTTGTCAACAGAGCATGCTGCCAAGAATTCAAGACAAAGATAGAAAAGTGCCCATTGGCTCTGACAATATAGAGGGCATGGGGAGATGAGAAGACCAGTCCTAACATGTCAGGGAGTAGGAATCAGGCAGCTATGGGTAGAGGAATGAGTGGCGGCCAGGGCAGGGGCAGTAGGAGGAAAGTAAGCATTAGACAATGTTTTCAATTAACTTGATGGTATAGGACAGGAAAGAGACAGAACAATAGTCCAACATGAGAAAGGGTTGACAGAAGGCTCCTTTCAGAGAGGAAAGTCTGGGGAATGTTTATCCACGGAGAATAAAGAGCCTGTAGAGAAGGAGAGGCTGAAGGAACCAACCAAAAAACCAAACCCGTTGCCGTCGAGTCTATTCTAACTCATAGCGACCCTACAGGACAGAGTAGAATTGCCCCATAGGGTTTCCAAGGAGTGACCGGTGGATTTGAACTGCCAACTTTTTGGTTAGCAGCCAAAGTCTTAACCACTACCCCACCAGGGCTGAAGGAACAGGAGAGGGAAAAGAGTCAAGACTGATGGATCAGGTCTCTGGGGGGGGGCGGGGGGTGGTGGTTGAAGGGAATAGACTCCAAAGCACAGGAGGAAGGGATTGGACCAGAGGAGGGATGCCCCTTCCACCAAGACAGAATGGAGAGAGGGAGGGAGGGAAGAAGGGGGAAGATGAAGAGAATTTTACAGAAGGTAGGAGAAGAAGCTGGAGCTTCAATTTTATTAGTTTGGAGACAAGGTCATCTGCTGCGTGTTGGGTGGGGTGGGGGTGGGGGATTTGAGGAGAAAGATGGAGAATGAATAGCAGGTGAGAAGCCTGGAATAGGGACCAGATGAGGATGGGACACATGGAATACTTGCTGGGCCACACCAAGGGCCCAGCTGAGGCTGGAGACCATGAACCTGTAGGAATTCAAGTCCACACAGATGTATAATTTTCTCTCACAGCCCTTGGAAACCCAAAATGAGGAGTGCAAACACCCAAAGACTGGCCCTTCAGGGTGGGGGTTTGGTAGGGCAGGTGCTATGAGAGGGCTCAAGAAAGCTGAAGGGGATTAAGGTTGAGTGACTGCAGGGTTGAACCACAACATCAAGGCTGAGTAGAATAGGAAGTGAAGTCAGAAAGGAATTGACAGTAGAGAAAATGGAGTGGGGTCCAGAGATGGGACGTTTCAGTGGGGTCAAAGAGCAGGTGTACTGAGAGGAAGACATGACTGAGAAGCACAGGTAGGAGGTCTCACTGCAATTTAAGGTTTCAGAGGCAGAGCATTTCCAGGGATGACCAGGTGTCGGGTATAGCCATGAGTGGCAGGCTAGAATGGAGGACAAGGGACAGTGAGAAGGAGGTGGGGTGGGTCATCGCATGCAGCCCATGGCCGCCCTTGACGTTGGCAGGCCTGAGGATACAGAGAAGGTCCATGAATGCAGGTTTATGACTCAGGGGTCAAGGGAGAGTTGCACACAGAGAAAGGCTGGGCACTCACTGTGGGGTTTCCTGCCCAACCCTGCAGAGTACCCTCCCTTTTAGGGAAGTCATCTTAAGGTCTGAGGTGCCTTCAGAGTCATGCTGGGTGCTGAGGCCAGAGCACAGTGAAGGAAGGTTCTTCTGCTCAAGGAGCCCTTTGGCTCTCTGAGAAGCTGCCTCTGAAGGTCAAGGTGAAAGCCTACGGTATGGCAGGGAGACACCCGCTTTTCCAGCCATGAATTTACCAACTCAGGCTGGCAAGGGACCCTTGAACCTCATGCCCACCCTGGCACCAAGGAGGTCTTATCATATCAATATTCTCCCTAGGAGAGATGCTTGCTCTGTCCCTAGACTGCTTCCTACTGCATGAGCCAGTCTCTGACTTGGAGGGCAAGGCCGAGCGGCTTAGGTGCCATCGGTGAGGCATGCAAAACACTAGTTCTAATCTGACACCTGGGAGGCCCTGGCCTTCTCACTCCTGGATGGCTGTCTGGGTCCCCAAGGAGCAGACATTCCCTGCTCGGGCCTCCAAAGAGGGTGAATCCTCTCTGATTGCTACAGTACATGTCCCAGGTTGCCTTCCCCACTCTGCCACACCCTGACTGCCATGCTCTCCTGTCCTGGCCCTGGCTGGCCAAACCCAGGAGTGTGAGCAAGGGGCCAAACCTGCTCACTCAGGGGAGGAATGACAGAGACACCTGGGGAAGGGTAGCTGCTCAGAGGGGTGTGAGCAGAGGGAGAGGGGTCTGGTGGGGATCTGAGGGCTGGACCTACCCGCCTCTCGTCCACCACGATGTAGTTGCGTCCATGTTTCTTGGTCAAGTGTGGGGCCAGGACGTCAAAGCGGCGGCGGAACTCGGAGAACACCATGTGGTCAGGGTAACCTGGAGAGAGATCCGGCCCAGATCTGGGTCAGTCAATGCCTTGCCTGCTCCCAGCTCACCCCAGTAGCCGCTGGTGCCCAGGCAGCCAGTGGGAAGGGTGGGCAGGAAGAGTCATCTGAAGGGGAAGAAACTGTTGGGGTGGAGAGCCTGCAGTTGAGGTAGGGCCAGGAAAGGAGAGCTGAGAGGAAGGAGGCAAGACAAAGGTGAGGAGGCCGAGGAGGCAATTAGGGCTGCTCCACAGTGGGATGTTGCTGTTGTTCGCTGCTATTGAGTCAGCCCCTGATTCATGGCACCCCCATGCACAACAGAACAAAACGCTACCTGGTCCTGGGCTACCCCATGATCGGTTGCAGATTAGACTGTTGTGATTCATAGGGTATTCTGATTTTCAGAAGTAGACCACCAGGGTCTTTCTTCCTAGTCCGTCTTAGTCTGGAAGCGCTGCTGAAACCTGTTCAGCATCACAGCAAAACGCAAGCCTCCACTGACAGACGGGTGGTGGCTGCACATGAGGTACATTGGCCGGGAATCAAACCCGGGTCTCTCGCATGGAAGGTGAGAATTCTACCACTGAACCACCAACACCACAGTGGGATAGGAAGGTTTAAAAAGGGAATGAGCTCCTTTGGAGGGAAGCAAGTTCCTTGCCAGTGAGGCGTGAAATTGGAGGGTGGCTGACCACCTACAAGGAATGTTATGGGGATAAGAGACTGGATGATCTCTAAGATCCCTTCTAGCCCTCAAAGTCCATGACTATGATGACCCAGAGAGAATGAAGTCTTGAGCATTTAAAGGAAAAAATAGGGCATCAGAGAGTAGTTGAAAGGAAAAGCACACGGGCTTAGAGTTTGAATCTCACCCCTACTTATTATGATCAAGTGACCCTGGGCAAGCCACTCAAACCTCTCTGAGCCTCAGTTTCCTCACCTATGAAATGGAGACACTACCACTTACCTCACCTGGTAGTCATGGGGATTAAATGAGAAAATAGGTACAAAGAACAGTCTGTCTCACTTGGGGGACGTTTGATAAAATGCTCCCTTCCTTTCCTCAGCCCATTGAGGGCTCTCCTCCCTGGCCCCATCCTGACCTTGAGCCCTAGGCCAGGTGACCAAAAACACTTGTAGATTCTCTCTCACTAATAAGAGGCCCCCTACTGTCTGGGAAAGGAGCCCTGGTGGTGCAATGGTTAAGTACTCGGCCGCGCCCAAAGGTTGGCGGTTTGAACCCAACCAGTTGCTCTGAGGGAGAGAGACCTGGCGATCTACTCCCATAAAGATTCAGCCTAGGAAACCCTATGGGGGCAGTTCTACTGTGTCACACGAGGTCACTATGAGTTGAAACTGACTCAACAGCACCTAACAACAATAACACTATCTGGGACAGAAGCATGGACCTGCCTGGAGATGGCAGGGGGAGGGTGAGATGGCTTCTAGTGTGGGGCAAGGTCAGGATAGAGGCCAGGAGGAGGTTACACTGAGTCACCCTGAGGACACCAGGGCCTACAGTGGAGGACCAAGAGATTCTTCCTACAGAATCACAGAATTTCAGATCAGAAAGGCCGCGGACCAGATCCAACTCATCTTCCAGACATGGAAGAACTAAGGCTCGGGACTGGCTGCAGTCTGTGACTGGCTGGCTCGGGGTCACAAAGGCTGCAGCTGGAGGCAGAGCTGGGCTCCAAAGCCGGGCTCCTGACAGCCATCAGGGGCTTGCTCCACTATGCTGGGCTAGCTAGCTCTGGGAAACCCTCCAGCTGGGAGATGAGGCTGATGCATGTGCCTGATAATTGAAACAGGAGGCGGGGCTGCTGAGGGAACAAGACAAAGTGAGCTATTGATTGTATCTGAATTGCAATTAAATTGATGGGCTGGGATAGCAGGTCTGGACGCCTGGCATCTTAATTAATCATCGGTGCTATCGATGGTGGCTAGGGGCCGGGTAAGGGGAGGGGGGGCCTGCTGCTGCTGGCCTCATCGATCTGCTTGTTTGAGTAAAGCACATTGATTTTGGTTCAAAGCAGTTAACAGTCTGGTTTTAAAATAATAAACACCAACTCCATACCAAGACGTGGGGACAGAGTGATGATTTGTTTAGAGCAGGGCAAGGAGCCGTTTCCTGGCTTTGACTGCTGCGGAAAAGTGACAGTCCCCACGGGGATGCCTTGAGGGGACCTGGCTGTCGGTGGGTGGGGCCCTGCCTGCTCATTTAGCCAAGGAAAAAAGGGCATAAACCTGACAACTCGAACTTCTCAGGCAAATTAAACCTTACTAGAGAGGCCAGCCTGCCTGGGTCAAATCCCGCTGTGGCACTCATGAGCCGTGTGACCCTAGGAAAGCTAATTAACCTCTCTGAGCCTCAGTCTCCTCATCTAGGGAGGACAATAGTACCTACCTCATGAGGTTGTTGTGATGAGGGTTAAATGAGTTAATGTGTGTGAAGAGTTTAGACCAGGTCCTGGTAGATGGCAAATGGTCTAACGATGTTAACCACTATTATTATTATTTTCTCGGGCCCCTCCTCTAAACGGATCCATAAAAAGGGTGGTCTGTTTGACATTTCTTGGGAATTTTAAGTGTGTACTTCAGAGAGATTTAGCACCTAATTTCTCAGTGGGGGGTTGGCCCAGCCTCTGGCCTGCTCCTTGGAGGCAATTACCACCACTGGGAAGACAGCATTTGCTCTGCTGCTGTGCGCAGAGCTGACCCAGCCAAATTAGGGACATGGGGAAGGGAGACAAATGGCAGGGTATACAGGGCAAGGAGGGGAGAGGGACAAAGAGAACTTGAATATGGAAAGGAGAGGAGGAAGAGGGAGTCAGTGGGATGGAAGACAATAGAGAAAAGAACAGGCTGTGGGCTAGCAGAGCCTGGAAGACAGACCCCACAGAGGAGGCACCAGAGCAGAAAAGAGAGCAAAAGAGACCTAGAGCCTGTCCTGAGACAGGAGGGGAGGGGCAGGGCAGCTCCGGAAGAGAGAGCCAGGAGCTGAGAGGGAAGGGGGCCCCACCTTGGCGGTACATGCGCATGGCATCAAGTAGGCGGGAGCCACGGAGCTGGGCACGGAGCAGGGGCAGGTCGAGCTGCAGGAGACCAGCCTCGCAGTGGTCTCCGGAGGGCAGGTCCAACTCACTGCTGCTGCTGACCCGGCGGGAGGAGGCGGATCGGGGCTCCCCGGCCCAGCCCTCAGCCACAGGCAGGAAGCAGTGCACGAAATGCAGCTTTGACTTCTTGATGGTGTCAATCAGGGCATCCTGCCAAAGGGGAAGGCACTGCCCTCAGTAGGCTCTGATGGCCATGCCCAGGACAGTAGGACTGGTACCAGCATTTCCTCTCTTCACAAGGGTGCCCAGTGTCTCACCACCGTCCAGGACATGCTAAGCCTGGACAACTCGACCCTCACTAGGCCTCAGTGGCCACTCAGAGGCAGCTGCGCTGAGAAGGCCGCACCAACAGTGGTCAAGTTAGAGTGGGATTCTGTGTGCCCAGAATGCCCAGGCCTACCATCAGGGGTGAAGGAGGGCCTCGGGGCTCGGGCTGCCACACTCACCACCTGCAGCTTAACCTGGATGCACAGTGACTTCTTCTTGACAGCTGCCATGCCCGTGGTAAAGGTTTTCCGCATGCTGGTGGCCCGGCGCAGCGCCAGCTGCGAGCCGCCTTCCAGGCCTGCGATGGAGCCTGACAGCACCGTGGTGCTTCCAGCCCGGCCCAGAAACAGGTTGCTGATGATTTTTCTGCCAGAGGTGGGAGGGGGAGGCGGAGGGAAAGGGGGTAGAGTTGCATTAACAGAGCAATAGAGGCCATTCCTCCTGCCAGCTCCTAGCGCACCAAATAACCCCACACCGCAGTGGCCGGGGACCTGGGTTATCTGGGCTGGGGCTCCACATCCCACACCCTGCAGACAAACTTGGGGGTGGGCAGAAGCCGAGAGGTAGACCAGACAGAGAGTGGCTACCTGTACTTCTCTATCAACATCGAGGGCAGAGGTAAGGAAGGAGGTTTTCCAGCGTGGCAAGGGAGAGCAGAGTCAAGCACCTTCCCACATACTACATAATTTACTTATTATGTTCACCGTTCACTATCTGCCTCCCCCCACTAGAACATAAACTCCACAAGGGCAGGGATTTGGGTTTTGTTCACTGCTAGCTGCCAAGCACCTAGAAGAGTCCCTGTCACAGAGTAGGTGCTCAATTATTATTTATTGAATAAGTGAATGGAAGTCAGGGGTTATAAGGTCGAGGGGTTCCCAGGGCTACCCCTGACCTCTCTGAAGAAAGTAGGGTGTCATTCAAATTTAAGACTATAGATCTTTTCACCCATGTCTGTTCCCCATCTCTGCTTCAGGAGGTCACTCACACACCCTCAAGGTCAACTGGTCTTGGCTGCGGCCTCTTAGGAAGTGGAAGCTGTCCGTCTTGTTGGGAGGGGACCCTGAGACACCCCCAGGGGAAGCGAGCCCTGGAAACAGCCCTGGGGATCAGACACGGGCAGTGGTGTTCTTACTTTTGAGAGTCCTGCAGGAGTCGGGGGGCGTTCTGGGTGGCCGGGTTCTGCTTGGTGTAGCTCAGCCAGCCAGCCACATTGTACTCTACCCAGTTGGTGCCGTGACTGTGGCCCAGGAGAAAATGGTGTGGTTTGCTGCTGCGCAGGAGGGGGCTTGGGCCTGAGGGTGAGAGAAGCAGGGTTCAGGTTGTCACAGCACAGATACAAAGCCCAGAGACTCAAGTGAGCCCCTGGGGAAATGCCAGCTACTCACCTGGACCCCATACGGATGGGTCCTCTGGAGAGGAAGCGGAGGAGCTACCTTCCAGCGATGTCACCTACCTTTTTTGTCACCTTCCTGGGGGCCATAATAGGAGAAAAGACGCTCCAGGAGCGCATCCTCAGTGGCCCCTGGCACCAGCGCCTCCTCTTCCAACAGCCACAGCAGGCCCCTCGCCTCGTCTGTGCGGGCCAGCGAGCGGACCTATGGGAGAAGTCAAGAAATCCGACCTTGTCACCTGGACCGAGGGAAAGGAGCCAGGACCCCTGGCCTTCAACCACACGCTATAAACACACTACACACAGACACACGCATACACACACACTGCAGCTCCTGTCAGTCACTGCTGACACCTTGGGGGAGGCAGGGGAGGGCAGCAAGGAGAAAGAGATCAGAAAGAAGCCCACAGCAAAATATGATTCCTAGGACTCAGGTCCAAAGTCGCCAAAGACTGAAGGCTTCTTACTAACCCAAGCCCACATCCAGAGGCTCTCCCCTAACCCCATCCCCTACAAGGTCACAAGGGGCTTGGGCTCACCCCCTGGGCATCAACTCCAAGCAGATTAAATGGGACACAGTCTGTAAGGCCCTGAGCATAGTGCGTGGCCCAAAGGAAGCTCTAAGTAAGCGTCAGCAGTGAGGTTGGCACTGGCCCCCTAAGAGGGGAGAGCCAGAAAGGGCTAAGGTCACTGCAGGTGGGCTGGAAGCACAGCCATAAACTCAAGTGCCAAAGTTTAGGCCAGGCGACTTAATGGATGTGGCAGCCAGAAGGGGAGGGGTCGGGCAAGCCGGAGAACAGGTGTCCATATCTAAAGGGAGTTAACTACCACTCAGCTGCAGCTAATTGCCGTCTCAGGAGACCCTCAGCCTAGTGTTGATAAATCTTCCAGGTTTTCAAGAGAAGGTGAAAATCTTGAATTCTGATTTCTGATGCACCATGGAGGCCAAACAAACAAGGCCTGTGGAATTTCTATGGAATTCTCAAGTCTTCCTTGGGCAGGAAGGACTAAACTTTCCCTGCACCCCATTCTGGCCTGACCTTTAGGCAATGGAGGTAAAGAGAAGTGGGAGAAGTATTATTTTCCTTCTCTTTGGCCCCAGCTGCCTGCATTTCCTCCCTATAGCTGCCCAGGGGAGTTGGTGTGGTGTCATTACCAGAAGGAAGCAGAATGTGGCCAAGGACCGATGAGCTACTAAGGTACCCCAGCGGCTGGAGGTGAGTGGCAGAAATAAGCAATGAGGACATCAGATGGTGAGTGGTGGGCAGGGCACTGCGGGGCCCTTTCTCCAAGGCCTGTCCGATAGGGAAGACCAAAGGAGGTGAAGGATGGTCAAGCCCCCTCCCCATGCATTGTCTGACCCACTGCTGTTCATGAGGCACCTGCACTAGTTTCCCCATATCTCTTGGGAATGGCAAAGGCTCTTGAGGGAGGCCGCCACCAGAGCCCAGGTGTCAGGAAAAAGGAAATCCAACTTCCCTGAGGTACTTGGGCACTTTAAGCATTTATCCCTAGGGGGACACTTGCTCTCCCCTGGGTTCCACTCCCTTGTGCTAGCTAAGCAGGGCCTTCCTACAGGGAAAAGGCAGAGGGAGGCAGAAATCAAAGCAGAGCAGGGAGATCAGCAGCCGAGCAAATGCCAATTCTCAATAAAGCATCTTATGCAATTTCCCTAATTGAAGACCATCACCAAATGCCAAGTGCTCATCAAGCCAGCCAGTCCCCGAGGCACCAGGGTGCCCAAGACACTAGTACAAAGGGTGACGAAGCCCCCTCTGAGGCTGAGGGGTGAGGGCTCACCCCGGTGACAGCCCCTCAGTGGGCAGTTTACAGCTTGGCACTGTTCCCTGTTTGACCAGAATGCTGCCTCCTCGCCCTGCTCTGCTGGCTGCATCAGTCCCCTTCCGGGGGACTCTGGGAGGGAATAATTATGGCTTCTGGATCCATCCAGGCCCTCACCACCTGGGAGTAGATATCAGGGCTCCTGGCAGACATGCTTGAGGCTCAGCTGCACTCACAGGACAGGGTCAGAGCCTCAGCCAGCAAAAAAAGATGTATACCTTCCCACCTGGCTCAGACGCCACTGTGCTGTGGTCCCCATTGCACCAGGGCAGAAGTACCACCCTCCTGGCAGAATTTATGTCTGAGAGCTAAGGGGAGGGGCCTCTGGGCCTCGGAGGTAAGGTGCCTGATGCCTGAGCATGACGGCTGGGCCCTCCCTCAGCCCATAGTGGCACCACCAGCAGCAGGTCATCAGGGAGGGCTCGACCAGAAGGAAAGGAAAGGGAGATGTGACAAAAGGCTAGTCCAGGCCCTTGCTGGACTTCGTACCAGGGACTGATGGGAAGCTTGGTCCACAGCAGCCACAGAATCATCTGTGGCTGGATCCAAGTCATCAAACGCCAGCTCAACATTCTCCTAGAAAGGAAGGCAGAGCAGTAGTGAGCACGAGGGGCCATGTGTGGGGGTGCAGGCCAAGAAGGTACCGTGGGGTCCCCCAGTCCAACCTCCCATCCCATGCAGGATCTCCCCTCCAGCATCACTGAGTAACATATTGCTCACCAGCTCCCAAGGCACTGCATTGTATTTTTGGACAGCTGAAATTCTTCCTACCTCCTTTCATACTGAGCTAAAGTCACATTTTCCTGTTGTTCGCATCAGTTGATTAGGCAGTGCAGAATAAGCCTACCTTCAATTTCACACAATTATCCTTGAAACACTTGAAGACAATTGTCATTTTCCTCCTGAATCTTCTTACCCAAGATAAATATCCTCCCCAGTTCGTTCAACTCATCTCCACGAGGTAGGACTTCTGAATCTTGTCCCACGTGGGACACCCTCCTTTTGTGGAGGATCCCTAATTAATCAACCACTGTCTTAACAGATAAGAAGGAAGGGAACAGGGAAGGTGAGGCCCAGACACATTTGGAGGTAGGAACTGCATGGTGGCAATTCACAGGGCCTACGAGGGTGCCTTGAAGATGAGCAAGGATGAGCTTCTAAAGACCCTGAACACACCTTCAGCTTCCTGGAGAGCAAATACTCCACAAAATAAGAACGTAGTCAAGGCCCAAAGGTCAGGGGACAAGGTGGCAGAGAGCAAAACCCAAAAAAAAACCCAATCCCCTTGCCTTTGAGTGGATTCCAACTCATGGTGACCCATGTGTTGCAGGGTAGAACTGCTCCATAGGGTTTTCTTGGCTGTAATCTTTATGAATGCAGATTGCCAGGCCTTTCTTCCGTGGTGCCACTGGGTGGGTTTGAACCACCAACCTTTAGGTCAGTAGCTGAGAACAAACTATTTATGCCACCCAGGGACCTCCAGAGAGCAAAGGAGGCAGAAATGAAGAGAAAACAAATTGCTGGGAAGAGCAGCCAGTAGGAAAGATGCCCGTCCTGGGGATGCCAAGTCTGAGGTGAGGCGGACGGGCCGGGGTGGGGCGCCCCAGGCAGGGGCTGAGGGTGAGTGCTACCTCCTTGTATCTTTCCAACTCCTGCACAAAGGTGCGCTCGTGGAAAAGCCTTTGCAGCCGGTCCTGGGCGTAGTTGTGGCACAGCTCCTCGAAGGAGGCTCCGCGGGCTGACCCACCCTGCTCAGGGTTCTGGAAGCCTGGAGTGTCCACAATCATCATAGAGCAGAGTGAATGCTGGCTGGACTTGAGAGCCCTTTACAGGAAGAGCCTGGATCAGAGCCGGCCCGGGCAGCACCACTGAGCAGGCTCCACTGTGCCCAGGCAGCCCCGCCCCGCCCCGCCCAAAGCCAAATCCCCATGCCTGCCCAGGTGCCCAGCACCCCGGCAAGGACGACATGCCTCTCCTCCCTCCAGCCCACGGCGACAGTGAGCCCTCTGCTGGTGGAGAACGGCGCTGCTTCAGCAGTTGCACAGGTACAAAGACATCAACACCTTTGCCAAAGCAGGAAGCAGGGGAGCCTCTGGGCTCAACTTGGCACTCACCTGTTCACCAGAGAGATGAGAAGGGTGAAAAGCTCGCTGTAGAGGCCGGAAGCCATACCCTCTAAGCACTCCAGGGCACTCAGTTTGGGGCCTGTGGGGCAAGAGGATCAGCTTATCTCCTGCCCCCTGGGGCTCCCCACCTGGGTACATCCCCTACCTTCCAGGGCCGAATAGGTATGGGGTCCTGGGGCTGGGCCGCTCGCCCTGACAGAAGCATCCATTCACCCCAGCAGTCTCCCAGCCCAGAGATGGCCACAAGCCCTGGCTCAGGGCCCCCAATCCCACCTACCTGTGCCGTCTCCCAGACTGCTCTCCTCAGGGCCCTGGCGGAAGGAGGTGGAACGCTGCAGGGTGCCCCCCTTGTGTTGGTGCTTGAAGATGGCTGAGGAGAGCTCCTCTAGGCTGCAGCCCAGCAGGTACGCAGCCTTCTGGGCCCACTCATGACGGGCAAACTGCCTGTGCCCAGCTGGGGAGTAGAAAAAAGAAACTGGCATCTTGGGTCTTCCTTCCTGGGCCAGCTGGTGACCACTGTGCCGTTTGGCTCCCTCACCCCCATAGGACTGGGGAGTGGGCATCTTCCAGAGGAAACAACCAGCCCTGATGACACCAGATGGGCTTCAAGCAGGATGGGGACAGCCAGCAGCTGACAGTCCTTACTGTGTCCCTTAACCAAAAACCCACTGCCATCAAGTTGATTCCGACTCATAGCGACCCTATGGGACGGAGTAGAACTGCCCCATAGAGTTTCCAAGGGGCGCCTGGTGGATTCAAACTGCCAGCCTTTTGGTTAGCAGCCGTAGCACTTAACCACTACGCCACCAGGGTTTCCCCTGTGTCCCTTAAAAACCAAAAACCAAACCCGTTGCCATCGAGTCAATTCTAACTCATAGCAACCCCAAACGACAAAGGAGAACTACCCCATACGGTTCGCAAGGAGCACCTGGTGGATTTGAACTGCCAACCTCTTGGTTAACAGCCGTAGCTCTTAACCACAATGTCACCAGGGTTTCCCCTGTGTCCCTTGGGAGTGGAGAAAATGAGCAGGTCCCAGCAGAGGAGGTAACTCCACACTGCTGCCACCAGAGGGCACCCAGTCAGCCACAAAGATCATCCCTTTTGGAAGGGCTGGCTCCAGGGGCGTTCACAATGTCAGAGGATGAGCAAACCCACCTCTGACAAGAGCCACCTGTGCCTATGGAGGACCCCCTCATGAGAGCACACTAGCGCCCCCCACCTCAACGGACGCATTAAGACCCTCCCTTTTACCCCCAGGCGTCTGCCATCTGCTGTGGGGAGACCATAGAAAGCCACCCATGCCCCAACAGCTGGGAGGCAAAGAAGCAGCAAGGGTGGGAGCAGCCCACGCAGACATACTCGCCTCAGCCAACATGTGTCTAATCACAGTAATTAGGGAAAGCAAACAAGAAACAAGGTTTTACCTTCAGCAGCTTCTGTAAGGCAAAGGACCAGCATGCAGCATGCAAAGAAAAACAGTGTGTTAGCAAACAGTCATCAACTCAGCCCACCAGGCCCTCGGGAAGGACCGCAGCAGGGGAGGGGGGGCTTGTGAGGATGAGCAGGCCAGAAAATACAACCACATTCAGACTCAGAAACACACACAGAGTCTCAAAGGAGTATGCTTACAGATATAATCACACTGACAGACACACATGGAAAGGGAGGAACAATGACATTCTACCAGACATCCCCAACCCACGCACACACACTCCTGGAAAATTCTGGGAGCTCTGAGGAGGTAACAGACATGGCTTCACAAAGTCCATGTGCTGACACCCCCAAATCTCTCCATCTGCCGTCAACTCTGAGTGAGGTTGTAGGGAATCTAAGCTTGTCACCTTTTCACAGCAAAAGAACTTCCCTGGAGACACAGCCACACGCCTGTCTGCCCTCCCCACCCACACAGTCTAGAGACAACTTCTTACACCTAGAGCCCGATTCCTCTTTGGCAGGGATGCCACCTGCAGGGATCATAAGTGAGCCTAACACCCAGACACTGTTCTTCATGCACCCACCCACCAGTGCTTTCCTGCTGAGCAGCCTGGGGCTTTTTACACCCCATAGGAAGATAAAGCCAAACCCCAAACTGGCTGGAGGAGAAAGAGGTGAAAAGGTGCCGGAAGCACCCGCCCTTTAAAGTAACTTCTGAGGAAAGCAACAGAGCTCTCCCAAGCCAGATCAAGTCTTTGCCATTCACAAGCTCCCAAGCACATGTGCTGAAGCAGCAGCCTATTCATTAGCATGGATAACTGCTGCCCCCTAGTGGCCTCCACCCTGACATGCAAGAAGACGAGACACCTGTCACCAAACCAGTGGAGAAAAGGGAAGATACTCGTCACCAAACCAGTGGAGAAAAGGTGGCCTCAAGAAGCAAGCCCATCCAACCCCACCCCACTTAAGTCCCATGGAGGGCATCCTGAGAGGTTCCAAAATCTGGATGCAAAATAGGTAGGAGATGCAGCTATTCCTGGGTCTCCCAGAAGCTCCATAGACAGCAAAGCCCCTCTCCACCCTCAACCCTGGGGCTTCTGCCCAGGCCACCTCCCCTTCCGTATGACAGAGCCAGCTCAGTCCCTAGAGAGAGCCCAGAGCAGGCACCAAGGCAGGGCAAGGCGACCCCTACACCCGAGGGAGGGGCCGAGATGAGTTACCCGCTTGCTCCTCGGGGACCTCTGTCAGGAGGGGAACAAGAAGGAGAGTTATTCTACTGGGGACTGCTCCGAGTTAGTTCCCTTCTCTCTCCCCTCACCCTCCAAATCCCCAGCCCAGCTGCTGCCATCTACATCCAGGCCTCAGGACATCATGGGTAGAGATGTTTCTCTGGGTGGGTGTTCAGAATCTCCTGCTCTGACGTGGGGGACTGGGAAGAGGCACAAGCCACAGAGGGGTGTCTGATAACAGAAGAGCCTATGCTGGGCAGGAACAGACTGGGAGTGGGAAGAGAGTGGGCAGGGCCTCTACAAGGTCTTCCAGGTGACAAACAGGTTGTTGGGACCAACTTCAGGTTACCTTTGGTGGCGCCTGCAGCCCCCAGGTGGTAGATGGCAGCCAGGATGAACCAGCAGGCCTTTTGCTCGTCAGGGGAGATACCCAGCACTTTCATGGCCGTCTGTAGCTTACTGAACTGCTGAGCTGCCTTCTGCTTCTCCTCGGGCTGCAGGGACAGACTGGTACATTGGCATCGGAACTCAGAGGGGCTGTCCCTCCCAGCAGCACCCTCACCCCATACTGCTGGGCCCTCAGGGAGGGCAAGGCTCAGGGCAGAGCCAACCAACTGGAGCTGGGCTCCTGCTATCCCCATGGGGCACCACAGGCTAAATGAGCCTTCTCCTACCCTCAAAGCTACCAACCTAGCCCCCAGAGGTCCCTTACCTTGGCCAGTGGCACAATCCCAAACACACTGTTCTCTGCCAAGTGGTTCAGGTGGAGCTCTGTCCTAGGGGTACAAATGAGGCATCAGCACTGTGCTTGGTCCCCATGCCAAGGCCATCTCCCACCCAGGGCTGAGAAAAGGCAGATTCAGCTTCTAGACTCCAAGTCTGTCTGCCCATCATGCCTACTGTCTGGTCAGCTGCTGCTATCTTTCCTAACGTGCCTGAATGCCTGGTCAGAGCACTAGCCTTCCCAGAACAGTCACCACAGACCCTCAGGTAAGAGGGCCCAGCAGGCCCCTTGGTGGGGGGCGGGGCAGAGAACCTGCCTAAAGGGTGGGCTCAGCCAGGACAGAGACTGTGCCTCCTGTTGCAGGATGAGCTAAAAGAACAACGCTCTGGGGCTGCTTGCTCAGCTTTATCGTTTGTCCTTTTACTGTGAATACAGACAGTTAGTGTGAAGGTCTAAAGGGAAGAACATGGCAGAGACAGCCGACATGGGGTGACGGACAACTTGGACAGCCTAGAAAAGGCTTGCATTCCAGCATAACAAGCGTGGGCTCAAACATCAGCTCAGCCCATACTATCCATGTGACTGCAGGCAAGTCACTGACCACCTGCATCTCGGAGTGCTTTCCTATCCAGACCCAGGTTCATGAGTCACAGAGATCCTAGCTAGGCCCTGGGAACCCTGAAGGGTCAGTTCTGCCCCTGTCACAAATAGCAAGGCTCCTGTACCTGGAGCCAGAGAGTTCCTGATGGGCAAGCTCTATGTCTCATTCATCTCACCACGCCCAGGGCTTAGCTCAGAGCCTAGCACACAGCAAGCACACAAAAAACAAATGGTACAGGATGCAGTCAAGTGGCAAGGTCCAGGAGCCCAGAGCACCCCCCATACCCATCTCACCTGAGCGTGTCATCCCCACAGGCCAGCAGGTAGTAGAAGATGTTGAATGTGGCTTCACCGGCCGGTCGCCGAGCCACACGCAGCTTCTCCAAAAGCATTGTCTGTGGCACAGCAGAGACGGGGTGGGTAAGGAGAGTAGTGCAGGCCAAACTTCCCACATCCCAGGCCCAGATTCTCCAGGCCTGGGGAACAGGTGGCCACATCTTATTCCCAAGGTGCTCAACCAGAGGCCAGATCACCCCAGGGCCAGACGGGGCAGAAACCAGAGCCAGGTGGAAGAAAAAAAGGTGTAGCTCCTGGAGGGGCCCTGCAGCCCTGCGCAGTGCACAGGCACAGCTTTCTTGGGGAGGTGGACACTTTGCTGTGAGATATTTAATTAACGTGGAAGGGAATCAGCCTTGGCTGTGCCTTACTTTCCTGACAATCCAGCCCTCTGCTCGGTGAAATCAGCCTGAGAGAGGCCCCAACCATGCACCTTAGAAAGTGGGCACGGGGCTACAGCCCCAGCAGGGTGGAGATACCCCCAGGGTAGAGAAGGCTGAGGGAGCTGGGCAGAAAGCTGAGCCCTGCCCTGTCCAGGGCAGGAGACATGAAGGGCAGAATGGTGAAGGCTCAGGGCAGAGGGCTGGGTGGAGTGGGCCAGCCCTGCCTGTGTTGGGTCCATTTTATTGGGGCAGAATCCCAGGAAAAGGAGGCACAGCAGAGAGCCTGATTTCTGGGGCATGAAAGCAGGCTGCCAATGTGATACTATCCTGAGGCCTGAGCAGCGCCCTCTCACCTGAATGGAGGCCGAGGCCACCTGGCCAGCTTGGTCAAAGTCCAGGGAGAGGATCTGGGAGAAGCGGGTGGCATTGCCATTCAAGATAGTGGGGCTGTTCCCAAAGGCTTCCAGAAGGGTGTACAGAGCCTGCCACTTTTCCACTGCAGAATACAGGCCAGAGGGATGTCAGAAAAGCTAGGGGCAGCTTACCCACCAGCTGTGGCTCCAGAGGCCCAGGCAGAATGGGAGGCCCAGCCCAGGCCTGTGCCCCCAGGCATGAAGGTTTGGGGTTACTTAGAGCAGAACTGCCCAGAGACAGAGGGGTTTTGAGGGGATGGAGAGGCCAGGGAGAAAGAGAAGTGGCACTGGAGGGTTCTCCTTCCCCACTCCTGCCCCCAGCCCATGCTGTTATCCCAGTTGTCCCTGCCTCACCGGAAAACACCTTGTTCCCACTGGTGCCTGCAATGGTAGCCAGGTATTGCACCAGATGCTGGCAGCTGGTGGTCTTGCCACTGCCACTGCTACCCAGGAGGATGATGGACTGGTCTTGACGGCTCATCAGCATTGCCCTGTATGCGTTCTGGGCTACGGCATAGATGTGGGGTGCCATGTCCTCCCGCCGGCACCCCTTGAACATATGCATCACCTTGGGTGGGAGGGGGATGGAGGGAAGGAGGAAGGCTCATAGCTGGTCCCACCTAGATGGCCCTCATCCCCAAGGTTGACATCTTTCTGGGATTTTCTCTCCAGGGGTGCCCAGCGATTCGGAGGTGAAGGCCACACGTGGAAATGCAGATACTAGCAAAGTCTTGGACTCTGTTAGAGAGGGGCCTGGAGGAGCTCTTTCTGCCTTGAAATGCATCCTTTTCCTGAGGTAAACCATGAGTGGACAGGAGCCCAGTGGGATGCAGGTGGGGGTGAGACAGAGAGCCAGGGAAGGTGGGGGTGGGTAGTTGGGGGGTGGGTAGTTGGGGGTGGGCCTGTGAGGCAGCATGGTAGCCTAGAGGGCACCTCACCTTCTCAGAGTACACAGCGGGGGCCCCACGGGGGCTGAGGACAAGCAGGCTGGGGCCAGCATATGTGTGCAGCAGGCTAGCACCATAGCGCTGGCGCAGCGTGTGCAGGACGCTGGACTCATTGAGGTAGACCAGTGAGGCCAGGTCCTCCAGGCGGTCGCAGGATGGAGCATTAGCCTGTGTGAAAGGACAGGCAGGTAGGTGCTCAAGAAGCAGCACCTGCCTCCACTGCCAGAGGACAGGCCTGCCCTGCCCAGCCCACCTCCTTGTGCCCACCACCTGCGAACCTTCTCTACATCGTCTTCGTCCACATCCAGGATGGCTCCGTCATGGTCTAACTTCACGCGTACCTTCCCCTCGGGCAGGCTGAGTTCCTCAGATTTGAGCTGACTGGCTGCAAGGCAGGGACAGCTGGACATGGGCCTGGGAAGCTTTCACCCCCCTATTTAGGCCTTTTAAAGTCCAACCCTCCTCACCCGTGTATTACCAGCCTCTCCTACCCAGCCCTCACCAGACCCAGAAGGCACATACACTGCCCAGAAAGGCAGAGACAAGTTAGGGGGCAGCCTGGAAACCAGACACTCCCAGGTATCCGCACCCTGGGCCCCCCTGAGACTCACCAAGTGAGAAGCCATCTTTATGGACCAGCCACACCTTCTCTGTCTCATACCAGGCCTCCTCAGCTGCAATCTGCTCCTCTGTCTTCGCCTATCAGAGGAAGGGGAAGAATAAATAGTCAGACCCTGCTCTGGAAGACAGAGGGACAAGGACAGCATGAGAGAGGAGACAAGTGAGGAGAAGGGCCTCACTGGGGAAGGGGAATGGCAGACACAGAACACAGGGACATGAGGTGTCAGGGCCAGGGGTGGAGAAGCCGTGAGGACCAGGACACAAAGGGTAGGGACAATACCAGCCATAAGGGTCTGGGAACGACAGGGACACAGGAAGCATGTACCCAGCAGAGAGCAGATTCCAGGAAAGCAAATCACCAAGTTCTACCTCCAGCTGCTCTCTGCCCCCTCCTCCCTGCAAAGCCTGTAGGCTCAGTATTCTGAGCCGAAACCCTTAATCCTAGGCCACAGCTCCTGTGATCTTTCATGCCCAGCTTCTCTCTTCATCCAAATGATAGGGTCTCCTTCACCAAGGTGGGAAAAGGCATTTCCTCAAGACCTGAGGAGAGAAGTGTCTACCTAGGACTTTGCAGTGTAAAATGGTAGGTGGGTCCTGAATCCCTAGCCTAGCCCTGGCCTTCACTCCAGAGGATGCTCAGCCGGGCAGAGGACAATGTCCAGAGGCACACACCAGCCTCCCTGCTTGGTCCTTCATGTCACCATGAGCAAAGGCCCCTCCTCAGGAGGTGGCAGGTGCACAGACCTACGTGGACCTACTAATGTCATACAAGTGCATGTGAGGTAGGGGAGGGAGGTGGGGAGAGGGAAGCAGCACCGCTCTGCCAAACGCAGGAAGAGACTTGCATGCCACATGGTGGGCACAGGGATGGGTGTAAAAGGGCTGGGACCCCCCCCCCCCCGCAAACCGAGGCTCCAGGTGGTCATCAATCAGAAAAAAGCATCTGCAGGCACCACCGGGGTATGGGGCTACCAAACTGGCACCCCCTAAGAGGAAGGCTTGAGCGGGACAGAGAGGGTACCCGGGTGAGCTGGGAAAGCAGAGGAAGGGCCCAGCTCCCAACAGGATCCTTTCGTCAGGTGTGAGTGAAAGGGCAGCGGGATGATCCAGTGGCCTCTGGTGGGGGATGTCGTCCCAGTAGCATGGAGAAGTCCTGAGACTGGCCCTACCCCCCACCCCCTGAGGGCCCCCAACCATGAGGTACAATTCATCTCCTAGAGCCCCACACCTTAGATGCCCCTTCCTCATGAGACTTGAGGCCGAGGCACAGACCAGCTTTGTGATACTGACCCCTGGCTGAGGGACAGGGGAAGGATAAGAAAACATACGAAGCATACTCTTCGCCACATTTCTGGGAGGTGAACAAAAAGATCTGGGCTCTGCTCCCATGTCTGCTCCTGGCTTCAGAAAAATCCTCCGTGGACTGCCCTTTCCCCAGCTATTTTTCGTTGTTGCTGTTGTTGTTGAGAATATAAACAGCAAAATGTACACCAATTCAACGATTTCTACATGTACAATTCAGTGGCAGTGATCACATTTTTCAAGTTGTGCAACCATTCTCACCCTCCTTTTCTGAGTTGTTCCTCCCCCGTTAACATAAATTCATGGCCCTCTAAGGTTCCTACTAATCTTTCAAATTGCTGTTGTCAATTTGATCTCATATAGACAAATCTTAAAAAAGCACAATGCTCAAGGCAGACATTCTTTACTAGTTAAGCTAAATAAACTATTGTTTGGTTTTAAGAAGACTTCAGGGGATATTTTTGGTTTAAGGTTTAAAGATTATCTAAGCCCAACAGTTTCAGGAGTTTATCCAGGCTCCATGGCTCCAGAAGGTCTAGAGTCCATGAGAATTTGCAATTCTGTTCTGCATTTTCCCCTTTTTGATCAGGATTCTTCTATGGAATCTTTGATCAAACTGTCCAATAGTGGTAGCTGGGCACCATCCAGTTCTTCTGGCCTCAAGGCAAAGCGGGCAGTTGTTCAGGGAGGCAATTAGCCACACATTCCATTTCCTCCTCCAATTCCTCTTTCTTCTCCTCTGTTGCTCCAGGTGAACAGAGACCACTTGTGCCTTTGATGGCCACTTGAAAGCTTTTTAGACCCCAGGCACTACAGAATGAACTAGGAGGTAGAACAGAAGCACTAAACATGACTTTCCCCAGCTACTGAGTGAGAGGACCGGACTGTGTCTGTGGTTCCCAGACTTCTGGGTTTCGCGGGCCATGAAATTACCCTCTAAATAGAAGGACAATATGAGGTTGTCAACATTTTAATTTGTTAAGTAAGGATATTTAAAAAGGCTAGTTCTTTATATTTGAAGAAATGTAACTTCATTAAAAATAGAAAACCAAACTCCTTACAATGTTCTATTTTTTTCACATCACGTGAAACAGGTGAAACCTTTGCCTTGAATGGGCACATTCTATGGGCCAGGTGTTTGGGACTGATGAATAGGTCCCAGATTCCAGCTAGGGCCTATAACCAACTCCCTTAGAGCTAATCAGAAGATGGTTTCCCAAACCAGCCAGCAGGTGGAGACAGAGAATGCCTCATCTCCAGGCTTGGCCTGGAGGGAGGGCAGGGATACAGACTTTTTAGGTCTCGCTACCTAGAGCGAGCAGAGTTGAAACACCTAAAACCCAAAACTCTGGCCAGGCCCTTGGGATCCAGTGGCTGAGAGCTACCACGTGCCACAGAGGCCAAAATAGAGCAGTGACACTGGGTCTAGAGGCTCCCAAAGGGCCTGGCACAGAGCTGCCCCATCTCAAGCTCCTGGCACTGCCTCCCCCAGGGGTCCCCCCAGACACCAGGTGGGAGCCTGAAGGGGAAAGAGGCCTTACACTCCAGCACGAGGCCCGAGCACAGACGCCAGCCCAGGTACAGGCCAGGGGCAGTGGGTGGTCACTGGAGGAAGCGGAGGGCTCCTGAAGGGGGCAGGAGTACCCTACCTGGCTGTGGGCAGGAGAAGCGGCCTCAGGGTCCAGCTACCAGCAGCAAGCAAAGAGAGAAAGAAGAAGAGGGGTGAAGACAAGCAGGCCACTGGTATGTCCCCTTCAGCGAGCACCCCTTGGCCTAGCGGGCTGGCACACTCCAGCTGCCCAAGGTGCAGGACAGAGGTGGGAGAAGCAGGTGAACTGTGCCCAGCCAAGGAGAGGCCAGGCCAGGAAGGAGAGGCCCAGCTTGGTGAAGAGACACTTGTTGCCATCAGACTTCTCAGAGGAGATGCTCCTGGAAGTCACTGCCTATGGCCTGGGCAGGTGTGTGCCATTCCGTTTCTGGCCATAGTCTCTCCCGGGCTGGCTATCCAGTCCATTCTGAATTAGATTCCCTTTTCCTTGTGCCTGCCAGGCCAGCCCAGCCTGACTACATCCAGGACCTGGGTTCCTGGAAGCCTCCTGTCTTATCTCCAGGGCATTTCCCAGCCTCGCTCCCCTATAGCCACCCACCAGCACAGAAGCTGTCCCTTGCCTCCAAACACACACCCAAGGGTGCCATTCCCCATGCCCTTCAGAGCTCACAGCCTGCACCTCACAGAACAAGGCCACCCATAGCCCCAAGTCTAGGATCCCTTCTTCAAGCCCCCACAGCACCCTTGCACCTCTCCTAGCACTCTCAGGCAAGCATGCTGACCACATAGCAAGCAGAGGCACCAACCCATCCAGGTCACCTGGAGGCCAACTGTCCAAGAGTCAAGGGGCTGTGGACAGACCCTGTGGCCAACCTTGATCTCTCTGTCAGGTTATTTAAAGCCCTCAAGAACTTTCTAAAGAGGAAGAAGAGTCAGCCAGACCTTGGACTTGGCTTGTTAGAAATGGGCAAGGGGTTAAAAGGCCCCACCTGGGTCTGGAGAGCCAGGGCATCAAAAATGGACCAGGCCCTAGGAAATGTGTCAGTTCCTTGCTTTGCCACCCATCAGGCCCTGGCAACAAGACATGAACTCTACAGCAGAACAGGGCCAGAGAAGGGGGCTGGCTCCCTAGCCAAGAGGGGTCCCCTCCCATGGGCACAGGGCTCTGGGCTCTCTGGAGGAACAGATCTCACAGACCCTCTGGAGGTAGAAGGCCCTCTGAAGAGCTCTCATTTCTTCAAGTGGGAAGTTAACTTGAGGGCCCACAGGCTGCTCATGGAGCCACCCTTCCATAGTCAGTCACTCCTGCACACAGACACATACAGCCTGGCCTCCAGCCTCAGAGAAGAGGCGCGCCAGCGACTGGGCAACCACACACAATAAGGTGAGAGAGGTGGCATTACAGAAGCTGTGAAGATTCTCTCAAGCCGCCGGTGGGCCTCCTCTGTTGGGGTCAACTGGGCCTTGAGGGCAGCTTCTGCCTAAGGATTAAACCACTGTTAGTCCTGGCCGGGGTGTGGCGAGGGCACAGCATGCCACGTTTCTAACTGAGGAAGCCACTGGGACCCAATGGATAAGTGGAGTAGGGTCAGAGAGATAAGCCAAGCACCAATTTGAATTTTTAAACTAACAGATGAGAAAAATAGAACAGGTGTCTGGAAGCTCACAGACCTCAAATAACGTGGAATTATTTCTTTCCACCATCTTAACCATCTTGAGGCCATGGGCCAAAGCCAGGATGGCCCTGTTCTCCCACCTGCCCTTCTGGTCCCTGCCACAGACCCAGGTGACAGGTGGCTGGGTTCCAGGTCAGGGCATCCCCCAGCCCCTGAAACTCCACCCTAGTGAGAGACAGAGGGGCAAGGAGCCAGAGCGGGAGGGTAGCCAGCCCAGGAGCAGACACATGACGCTCCCTGGCTACTTACAGGTTCTCTTGAGGGACTGACGGTTCACCTCATGTCCTGTCTGTTGGGCCAAAATATCCCTGCCAGCTCCTCCCTGTGTGCCAGGAATGGTCACATCCCTGATTCACAGAGTGGCCCAGGAGAGATAAGGGACAGCTGCAGCCTGGCTCCTCTCTAAGTGCTGCAAAGCCCAGGAAGAACAGGGAGCTAGGTGGGTTCTAGGACCCCAGGGATCCCAGGAGGTAGCAGTCAGGTGCACAGGCCCTTAGGCTGTGCTCCCAGCATCCTCCTGGCCCCTCTCCTTCCATTCAGAAGGAGCATGT